AATGATGAGAGAGAACCATTGATTGGCTGCCTCTTGCATGCCCCCCACTGGGGGTCAAGCCGCAACCTGGGCATGTGCTCTTGACAGGAATCAAACCCGGACCCTTCTGTATGCAGGCCGACGCTCTACTCACTGAGCCAATCCGGCTAGGGCTCACTGTTTTTGTTTGTTTTAAATATATTTAGTTTTATAACTCAATCAGTGTAGTACTCTTTAAAAATATGTATATATTTATTGATTTCAGAGAGGAAAGGAGAGGAAGAGATAGATAGAAACACCCTATCTAATAAAATAGTAATATGCAAATTAACTGTCACTCTGTGACAAAAGATGGCAGCGCCCATAGTGGCCGGGGTGGGATGCCCCAGCCACACGGAGAAAGGGGAGAGGCCTCTGGCCAGAGGCCGGGGCGAGCGATGCTGGTGTTGTTGCAGGCCGGGCTGAGGGGAACCCCCCCCCCCACCCGTGCATGAATTTTGTGCACCAGGCCTCTAGTCAATGATAAGAGAGAATCATTGATTGGCTGCCTCCTGGAGGTCCCCTACTGGGGACCAAGCCTGCAACCTGGGCATGTACCCTTGACTGGAATCGAACCTAGAACCTTTCAGTCTGCAGGCTGACACTCTATCTACCCAGCCAAACCAGCTAGGCTCACTATTTTATTTTATTTATTTATTTATTTTTAAATATATTTTTATTGATTTCAGAGAGGAAGGGAGAGATAGAAACATCAATGATGAGAGGGAGTCATTGATTGCCTGCCTCCTACACTTTGGTCCGAGCCCACAACCCAGGCATGTGCCCTTGACTAGAATCGAACCTGGGACCGTTTGGTCCACAGACAGACGCTCTATCCACTGAGCCAAACCAGCCAGGGCTCACTGTTTTATTTTAGTAACCTTTCAGGTAGCTTGCCTAAGCTCATTTGTGTAGAAATATTTTCTATTTGAGTTACTTTATCCAAAACTTATAATATTTTAAAATGAAGAGATGATATAAGTTTGTTTGTTTACAATGTTTCTACAATGTTTGTGAATTTTTAAAATTACTCTGTTATTTGGAAGGTTTGTATTTATACCTTTTATAATGTCTCTTTAATCTACTTTTCTCTTGTTTACCGTCTGGTCAATCAATAGTAAATGGCAACCTTTGATTCCTTCCATTACCTATATGACAGTGATCTAATTCTACTTTTGCCCTTTTTTCTCCTTCTGTTGTTGTTATTGTTGTTTTTTTTAATCCTTACCTGAGGATGTTTTTTGCATTGATTTCTAGAGAGAGAACAAAACATTGATGGGAGAGAGACACATTGATTGGTTGCCTCCCACACTCCCCACTAGGCCTGGGGAACCTGCAGTCCAGGTGTGTGTTAACCGGGAATTGAACCCACCACTCTATGGTCTGCGGGCCAACACTCTAACCACTGAGAAAAACTGACCAGGGCCTCCCATTGTTTTTCATTGCATTCTTTCTACTTCATCAGAACATGTAAATTTTTTTAAAAAATATATTTTATTGATTTTTTACAGAGAGGAAGGGAGAGAGATAGAGAGTTAGAAACATCGATGAGAGAGAAACATCGATCAGCTGCCTCCTGCACATCTCCTACTGGGGATGTGCCCGCAACCCAGGTACATGTCCCCGACCGGAATCGAACCCGGGACCCTTCAGTCCGCAGGCCGACGCTCTATCCACTGAGCCAAACCGGTTTCGGCAGAACATGTAAATTTTAAGTATTATTATTTTACCCATGTCTCCCCCCCTTATTTTAGTTTTTACTGTAGAATTGCGTATGTGTCCTTTGCTCCTGTATTTCCGGTTATCTGTTGGTTAGATGACAAACATCTTCTAGAATTTTACTTAGGAAAGGCTTGTGTGTACAGCATTCCCTGAGTTCTTGCACATGCAGAATGTTGTTTTTTTCTATAACCTTGATATTTGAAGGACAGCTTGGCTGGGTATGAAATCCTTGGCTTACATTATTTAAAACATCAGCTTTATTGAGGTAGAATTTATATGAAAACTCACCAAATTTTAAGGTTACAATATTAAAAATTTGACAAACAAATATAGTCTTAACTACCACCCTAATGGTTATAGGACAAAGGATCAGCAAACTATAACCCACAAGCCAAATTGGCCTGCTGTCTCTTTTTGGAAATAAAGATTATTTTAAGACAACCATTAGTGTTGTGTCCTTTCATTAGTGTTGTCAGTGCTGTTCTTACAGTACGTTGGCAGAGTTGAGTAGTTGCAATGAAGACTATCTGGCCTGCAAAGCCTAAAATATTTACTATTTGGACCTTTACAGACATTTGCTGATATGTGATAAAGAAAATTTCTTTCACTCACCAAGTTCCTCATGCCCATTTGCAGATAATCTCTTTTCACCCCCAATACCTAGCAACCACAGGTTGGCCTTCTGCCGCTAGAGTTTTGACTTTTATAGAATTTGATATAATTGGAATCGTATAGTGTATAGTCTTATCTGGCTTCTTGCACTGAGATTAGAGCTCTTGAGATTCATCCATGTTGTTGGATGTATTAGTCATTTACTCCTTTTTATTGTGGACTTGCACTTTCCTTAAATTTCTTGAAAATGCAGCTTCATTCTTGTTTTTCTTTGTATGTTGGTGGTTGAAACCTTAAGAAACCTGACTGCCTAAATTTTTTTTTACCCCTATTAGGTAATTGAATCTTTTGCTTTGAAAGTTCTGAAGATATTTTTTCTTACCTTTAAAGTCTGATAGTTTTATTGGTGGATGTCTTGGTGTTGTTTCTGGTAATACTTTTACTCACGTTCTGCTAAGTTTTCTTAGAACATAGTTTTAAATATTAGGTTCTGTTAAATCAGCTGAAATGTTTTTATTTGCCTTTTGTTTCCCATAGATTTGAATGGAGTTTTTTTCTTTTTCCTATTTTTACAACTCAAGAGCAACTTTTGTCAGTATGGTGACTTGCAGTTTCCTTAATGACTGATGGATGATATTGATAGTAGTAGTGGGAAAAGGGAAGGAGTTGGCGGATCTTGCTCTTTTGTTTCTGTGGGATCCTTAATTTTCTTGCTTCTTTCATTTCATTACCACTTCAAGAGGCACCATCCTTTCCCTGCTTACCAGATTGTCTCCCAGAAATAATGCTTCTCCTGGTTGCAGCCTTTAGTCCCACTATTTTTTTTTTAAAACAACTTTTCTAAAGTATAATTCCATACCATATCATTCACCCATTAAAAATTTTAAATGTAGTGGTTTTCAGCAAAACCTGTTTTGGTTAAAAAATTTATTTCTGGATTATTAAAATCAAGTCTTACAGATTTTAAATCTGTGAGCACAGGAACTATGCTATGTTATTTATTCCTACTAGAGGCCCAGTGCATGAAATTCCAGTCCCTCAGCCCGGCCTGCACTCTCTGGCAATCTGGGACTGCTGGCTCCTAACCACTTGCCTGCCTGCCTGCCTGATCGCCCCTAACCACCTCTGCCTTGGCCCCTGCCACCATGGCTTTGTCCAGAAGGACGTCAAGTCTAATTAGCATATTACCCTTTTATTAGTATAGATAATCCTAAGCATGTCTATGTCTGGTGTGTACTAGATAGTCAATAAACATATTGAGTTAATAAGGGCTTTATTGAAAAGTTAGGAGACATATGTAATACTCTTTGTAATAATTTAAGCAATAAAAAAATTAAAAAAAAAAAAAAGAAAAGTTAACTATGTGCATGCTACCATGAGGCTTATTGAAATTTAACATACTACATCAGTGGTTCTCAACCTTGGCTGCACATTAGAATCACCTAGGAATCTTTTAAAAATCCTGATTTCTGGGCCTCATCCTCAGGAAACTCTGTTTCTTTGTTATGGGGTGAGGCCACAACATTAGTAACAAAGAAACAGAATTTCCAGAGGATGAGGCCCAGAAATCAGGATTTTAAAAAGATTCCCAGGTGATTCTAATGTGTAGCCAAGGTTGAGAACCACTGTACTACATATTTAACCTTAAAGAATTGATAGGCGGGGGAGCCAAATGTATATTATTAACCTTGCTTTGCTTTTGAAAATTTTGTTTCTCTTGGATTCTGTAATTTATCTGCTTGATTTTCATCCACCTCTGTGGTTGCTCCTTGTCATAATCTTTGAAGGCTCCACTTCCTTTGCATCTCAAATGTTTACATTCGTTTTTCTTCTCGGTGTGATCTCTTCTGGCCACTTTAGTTCACTTCCATTGCTTCAGTTGCCGTCTACATAATTAGAAATCTATATCTCTCCTAGATCTCTTCCTGAGCCCCAGATTCATGTGTTCAACTGACTATCTCCATTTGTGTGGTCCATAGCCCCTAACTGTATAAATTAGTTATCCTTTTCCTCCTTAACTCTGGTCCTTCTCCCGGATTTCTCAAATCAATATATGACAGCATCTAAAACACTTTCCCCCTCCCCCTTTTACAAATCTAGTCAGTCAGGTGGGGTAAAAGAAGGTTTACAGTTGTGAGTACAGGAAACAGTTTCTTCTTATATTATTATTTCTTGATTATTGTATTATTTTCCATACGAACAATTGGAAACCTACCTTTGCCCACCCTATTACCTCCCAAGTATGTCTCAAGTCCTTCTACTTCATTCTTACTGTTATCATTGAAGAACAGGTTGTGATTACGTGGACTATTGCAATAACTTCCGATCTTGTTCTCTTCCAATTCAGCATCTACAGTGCAGCCAAAATAAGTATTCTAAAATACTTCTGATCATCTTTTTTTTAAATATATTTTTATTGATTTCAGAGAGGAAGGGAGAGGGAGAGAGCAATAGAAACATCAATGATAAGAGAGAATCATTGATCAGCCTTCTCCTGCACACCCAGTGCAACCTGGGCATGTACCCTGACCTGGAATTGAACCGTGACTTCCTGGTTCATAGGTCCATGCTCAACTACTGAGCCACACCAGCTGGGCATATCTGATCATCTTATTCCCAGCTTTAAATATTTGCTTCATTCATTTCAGAAAATGGAATCATCAAGACAGATAAAGTATTTGAAGTAATGCTGGCTACGGACCGTGCCCACTATGCAAAATGTAACCCTTATATGGATTCTCCACAATCAATAGGTAAGCTTTGAATTTCTGAAAATGTCAGTTTTTACTCATTTACTCTATAATTTTTGTAAGTAAAAATAGACTAGGACACAGGTATTTATTATTGCCTTGCTGGTTTGAATGTTATACCTTTATAATAAAGCATTATATGCTTATGAAGCACCTTTTCTATTTTCTCAAATATATAATATATGTAGAGAATTTTAAAAACAAATTTTCTGAAAATATACTTTTAATGAAAATTTATGCGATTTAAGCTGAGTGTTGAGTTGTCTTTAGGAGCCTTAATGTTGACTAAGGTTGTTTTTCCCATTAGCATCAGTTTTAAAAATTAGTACTAAAGATAAGTGTACTTAAGTTATCATTGACTTCTCTGCTTCACTTGCCCTGAATTTTTTGACTTGTGCTTGATTTTAGAAAGTTCCATATTTAATTCCTTCTCCTGAAGCAGGTTTTTTGCTGAACTGCTGAGCCTTGGCAGTGGGCGCCTTTGAGGCTTAGAAGTGCCTCAGGATTCTGTCGGCCAGCTGCCATGCTTTCTTCTTTTGAAGCACTATGACAGTCAGCAGAGAAGATCCTGGGGGCTTCTGAACCCGAAGGCACCTGCTACCACCGCTCAGTGAAAATTGCTTCAGAGGCAGAAGCAGGTAAATACATTTCGAGAAAGCAGTCCCGGAAGAAACAAATTGAAAGCTGAAAACTAAGAAAAGATTGTGTGCATTGACATTAGGTGAGGGCATAAGAGTAAATTGAAATAGTTTCTTAGTCTCTTAAGCCACTTTGCTGGTTGCTCTAGTTTATTTTTAAGTTGCCAGAAATATGAAGCAGTTTAATTTTGCAAAGATTTTGCATACCTATTATATATAGAAGCTGATTTTATTTTTATAAGTCTGAAGAGAAAACAAGTTATAAACTTGTCGACTCAACTTACTGAAATTCTTCCTTTCTTAGCCAGGAGAAGAAATCTTTAAAAATAGTGGGCCTGTTGTCCTAGAAGAGCACAGTAGCGTTTGGCATGATTGGATTTCCTAATTTTAACTGCTGCATGACAAAGTTCAAAATAAAAGTTTTGTTTTCTTGTGATCATAAAAATGAAAATTATTCTGAAAAGTAACTTATGGATATTAGAAAGGGAATTACGTGGAGTATTTGGTATGCTTCTACAGCTGAATGTATCAGTAGTTCTCCTCTTTTTTTGCAGGTTTCCAAGCAACAATCAGTGCTCCACACATGGTAAGTGAACTTTGGTCATTTTGACTAACCAAGTCATTTCATTCTCTAATCAAGCAAAAGAGCAGAGTGAAGCCACTGATTGACAGTTATATACAAGATTAACTAAGAGTTTACCAAGTAACACTAAATAGAAATAAAAGATCAATTAATTGTTACTTTTACCTTTATAAATGACTGTGAAGTACCTTAAAGAGTAACAGCAACAAGTCATTGTGCTGTAATGGTTGACTTTTTCTTAACGTAAACAGTATACATTTCATTTGTAAATCCTTTAGAATTTATAAAGTACTTTTTTAATGCATCATGACTTTTATTCACAATGATACTTCTGTGGAGAAGGCAGGATAGGAACAACGGTTTTTCTCTCCATATTAATGAAATGGAAACTGAGGAACCATGAGCTAAAAATAATTTCCAATGTCACAGGGCTAATAAATTCAGAACCAGTAGAATCCAGTACTTAATGGCGTTTCATCCAGAACTCTTTTTCATAGTACTGGTTGTTTTCACTCTTCAGACAAGAATCTTTGCAAAAGAATCAATATGATTTCCTTTTGCTGAACCATTTTAAAGCAAATTTCAAACATAATATTTTACCCCTAGATACTTTAGTATAAATATGAAAAACTTTAAAAGCACAACTACAATACCACATCATACCCAACAATATTCCTTAATATTGTCTTAACTGGTAATATTGGTTGTCTTTAGGGAGTGAAACTGGTTGGGGATGGGGATGGGAATGGGGAAGGTTGGAACAGGGCTATGATAGAGATTTCACTATAAGTCCTTTTATAACTTTTGACTTTGCAGTAATTACATTTTAAAATTCACACATTGGAGATAAAAAGTTACTGAAACATTTTAAATAAATGTAAGAATTTAATCAAACAGTGAGAATTTTCTTAAGTCATTCCTGTGTAGATGTAAGTACTATATGTTTTCATCGTCTCGATAGATGACAATAGTAGTAACATTGGTATGAAGTTGGCAACTTAATTCATATGCCATGGTATATATACTTTATATTCTTTTTTTTTAAATATATTTTTATTGATCTCAGAGAGGAAGGAAGAGGGAGAGAGAGATAGAAACATCAATGATGAAAGAATCATCGATCAGTTGCCTCCTGCATGCCCCGCACTGGGGATCAAGCCCATAATTTGAGCATGTGCCCTTGACCAGAATCAAACCTGGGACCCTTTAGTCCGCAGGCCAACCCTCTATCCACTGAGCCAAACCAGCTAGGGCAGTGATCCATTAGTCAACAGAGCCAAACATCAACAGTACAACGATTGAAATTTCTTTTGAGAGCCAAATTTTTTAAACTTAAACTATATAGGTTAGGTACATTGTTACTAACTTAATTAGGGTACTCCTAAGGCTTAGGAAGAGCCACGCTCAAGAGGCCAAAGAGCCGCATGTGGCTCGTGAGCCGCAGTTTGCCGACCACGGACTAGGGCATATACTTTATATTCTTGAAAAAAGTGAATATTGCTTTGTTTTCTTTTGGCAGCATGCATATGCACTAGAACTTCTATTTGATCAACTGCATGAAGGAGCTAAAGCTCTTGATGTAGGATCTGGAAGTGGAATCCTTTCTGCATGTTTTGCACGTATGGTAAGACCTTTATTTTTCATTCTGGCCCCAACAGAAGCATAGTTTTACATGTCCTACTTATGATTTGACTGTATATTTTTTTCATTACCAGTTTCTGAAGGTGTTTTTTTTTTTTTTTTTTAAAGAAATTCTACCGAGAAAGCAGTTGGAATATATAGCACTAGGATTTTTGTTGTTGTTGTTGTTGCAAGTGACAGAACAGTCTATCTAAACTGGCAGAGCTAAAAGGGAATTTATTTGGTTTATATCATGGAAACATTTTAAGGTGTATCTGGCTTCTTGTGTGGCTGGATTCAGATCAGATATTGTTATTGACAGTGATTTTCTCTGTGGTCCTTGGTTTGGCTTTCCTTTTCTCCATATGTTGGCTTCATTATCAGAGTGGCTCTTCTCTTGTGGTCAAAGATGGTATGGTAACCAGTAGCTCCCAGACTACATTCTTCCAAGTTTTCATCTGGCAGAAAATAAACACTCCTACAGGTTTATTAGGAATGAGGGTAGAGATTCCTTTACAGTAAGAAAAGTACTCTTAGAAAAATGCCTTGTTTATTATACTTCATTATTCACCAGAGGCTTATCTGGTAAATGACCACCAGAGTGTAAGTCTGGAGGTCCATTCACACACCTTGAGGAAGGGTTCATCTGCACTCAGATAATCAAATCAAGTTAATTATGGAAAATCTTGTCCCTGGAGGCCAGATTGGAAGTTTCTGATTTAGTTAGGTTGGGACTTATGGATCCATCTTGGACAAGAATCCATTTAACTTGCTAAATGTATAATCAGCAGACCACTAGCATGTAAGTTCCAGGGAGCTGGCAGTTTCGTCTGATTTTTCTCCTTGGCATGTCTTAAACATCCAGAACAGTGTCTTGTACATAATAAGGATTCCGATAGTTCAGTATTTTTAACTTGTTTTGTACAAGTTAAGCATCACCATAGAAATACTTATGAGAGATTTTCTATATTTGACATATTTATGGTTTCAGAGGAAAATTTATTTTTTAAAAATCATTAAATTTTTGAGTTTTCTTTTTAACAATGAAGTAATTTAAGTTCATGATTTTTGAAAAAAAAAAAAAAAGTTCATGATTTTTGCACATTTAGCACGTGCTAGTCAGTGTTCTAAATGCTTTTCTTGTATTCTCTTATTCAATCCTCACATCATTAATGAAGTATATAGCTTTTACTTCTCATTTTACAAAGCTGAGGAACCTGATTCATAGAATCACTTGCCAAGGTTATACACTTGTAAGTAATGAAACTTAGATGTGAACCCAGGTAGTCCGACATCAGTCTTTATTATGTTAAAAATTTTTTACAATTAATGTTTATATTGGGGCCTTTTTATAATTTTTTATGTATTTTATACTTTCCACAAAATGGCAGTAGAATCAGGTATAAAAATCCCTATTAAAATTACTTAAATCTCTATAAAATGTCATGTAACATTTATATATATTTTAATATGTATATATTTTAATCCCCATGGGAGGATATGTTTACTGATTTTAGAGAGAGGAAGAGAGAGAGAAACATCAATCAGTTGCCTCCCATACTCACCCTGACAGGAGATCGAACCCACACCTTTTCGGTGTATGGGACAATGCTCCAACCAACTGAGCCACCCAGCCAGAGCTGTAATTTTAATATTTAAAGTCACACTTCTAGATTTACTTTGAGTAAAAATGATTGCATTAACTACTATTTAATATTGGCAGTTAAGTCCTCCATCATGGTGCTGGATTTAAAGATTATAAATTGAAGAATGATAGCATTTTTTTTAGTATTATAATTAAAATTTATTCTAGCTTTTTAATTTGTGAAATATAATTAATTCATTTGTGAGTTAGAGTTGAGAAGGTTGTAATAGCTAAATAATTTATAATAAACCGAATTGTCTTCATTTCTCATTGCACAATATAACTTTACATTAGGAAGCACTTTAATGACATTTAGAACGACAAATTTAGACCAGTGAGCTATTGAATTATTCTCATTTCTAGGTTGGAGCTAGTGGAAAAGTCGTAGGAATTGACCACATTAAAGAGTTAGTAGACGACTCAATAAATAATGTCAGAAAGGACGATCCAACACTTTTGTCTTCAGGGAGAGTGCAACTGGTTGGTGAGTATCAGAAAACTTAAAAAATTTCCTCTCTGCAGAATTTTTATTTTCAGATGTTCCCAATGCAGCTAAATAATAGAGCTAATTACTGCATTTTTAAAACATTCACTTCAAAGTACTAAGTAAGAAAAATAGTTACTTAAAAATGTTATGCTAGTTCTACCTTGACCATGGGTGACATGACTGTTAACTGTTTCAGAAAGTGCCATGTTGAGTTCTTTCTTCATTGCTTTTTAAGTAATGACAAAGTAACAAGTATTCATTATAAAAAAATGTAAACAGTGCAGAGATGTGTAAGATAAAAAAGGAAACCACTCCTTTTCCCTTTTAAGTTTTCTAGACATAAAAATACATGTATGAATAAATAGCACACACAGTTTTCTTTAACTCATACTATATATATTGACCTATAGTTTACTTTTTTCCATTCAGCAATATACAATGGACATATTTCCATAGGAGCACATTTTGTATTGTGAAAAATAAAAAAACATTAAAAATGCATAAAGCATAAATGTGAAGCTTAATAAATATCTGTTTAATTGCCACACTAATCAAGAAATGGAACATTATTCGTACCTTGGATATCCTCAAGTTTCTTTTTTCCTCATCATAACTCCCTTCCTTCTCCCTAGTGGTAACCAATATTATTATTTCCATGCATTTGCTACCTAATTGTACATCCCAAAAAAAAATGTTTCCTTTAATTTTGAACTTTAGACAAATGGAATCATGCAGTATGCATTCTATGATGATTAACTTCTTTCATTCAGTATTTTGTGTGTAAGATTCACCCATCTTTCTGCATACAGTTCATTTTTATTACTGTACAGCATTCCATTGTAAGAACATCACCAAAATTTGTTAATTCTACTGTAGATGTGTATTTTGGTTGTTTCTAACTTGGGGATATTCACAATGCTGCTGTGACCACATGTATACCTAAGTCCAGATTCATATATACATTATATAGTATGTAGGAGTGTTATTGTATGTTCACAGGGTTCCCTTAGATATTGCAAAACTGTTTTTTTTTTAAAGTGATTGAACCACTTTACATTCCCACCAGCAATGTATCAGGGTTCCTATTGTTCTACATCTCTACCAACACTTGGCATTATTAGATTTTTCTTTGTGCCTACTTAGTGAGTGTATAGCAGTATCTCTGTGATTTTAATTATGTATTTTACTATTAACCAGTGAGGTTGAACACTTTTTCATATGTTTGGGCATTTAAATTTCCTTTTTTGTGAACTGCCTGTTCAGATACTGAGTTGTTTATATTTTTCTTTGAGTTGTAGAACTTCTAGAGACTAGCTCTTTGTCTATTTATGCATATTATAAATCTCTTCTCCCACTATGTGGCATGCCTTTTCACTCTCATATTGGTACTTTTTTGATAAATAGAAATCTTAATTTTAATGTAGCTAGACTTAACAATTTTTTCCAGTGCTTCTGTGTCCTGCTTAAGGCTACTCTGAAATCATGAAGACATTCTTCTATATTATTTTTCAAAAACTTTGTTATTTTAGCTTTTCATACTTAGGTATTTGATCTTCCTGACATTGATTTTTGTGTATGTATGAGGTGTAGGGGTCCAAGTATATATTTTTTCCATATGCATATTCATTTGTCCAGCATCATTTCTTTAAAGAAACAAAAAACAAACAAAAGGAGTTGTTTGTTTAAAAACAAACAAAACTATTCTTTCCTGCTGTAAAATCTTCACACTAAGTCGTTCTATCTGAACAGGTATTAAAAGCGTAATGTTTTTCTTTCAGTGGGGGATGGAAGAATGGGATATGCCGAAGAAGCCCCTTATGATGCTATTCACGTAGGCGCTGCAGCCCCCGTTGTGCCCCAGGCAGTGAGTTGTTTCTTTCTGTGTTTGTGTGCTTTATTCAACTAAAACTCTCAAAGGTTTGTAGATAAGTGACTTCTAGATGTTAAGAACATAGACTTTTTAAAAATATATATTTTATTGATTTTTTACATAGAGGAAAGGAGAGGGACAGAGAGTCAGAAACATTGATGAGAGAGAAACATCAATCAGCTGCCTCCTGCATACCTCCCACTAGAGATGTGCCTGCAACCAAGGTACATCCCCTTGGCCAGAATCGAACCCAGGACCCTTCAGTCCGCAGGCCGATGCTCTATCCACTGAGCCAAACTGGTTAGGGCAAGAACATAGACTTTTATGTCATGCATTTCAGTTACAGTTAGTAGCTAATACTTTTTCCATATGCAAATAGTTGTATAAATGACATCAATGTTACTAAGCCCCAGCTCATGTCTGTCTTTTGAAGCAGTATTTTATCCAGCAAAGAATGAGTCTACCAGTGGAATTGGGAAAATACCTTTGGAGTTCATGACCTGATAATCACTTGGCATTTATTAAATACCAGAATATGCAAGACTATTAGGTTCCTGGGAGAGACCAGGGATATTTGTCATATATTTTACCCTCACAAAGCTTATACCCTAGAAGAGATGTATCATACATGTAACAAGGAGATTAGTTATGTGATATTATATCATTAGCATATGACATATCTTGAATGAAAAATAAAATCCTACTGTAGGAGTTCAAGGTAGCAAAAAGAATTTGCATAGAGTGGTCAAGGAGACTTCATACAGGAATGGAACGTGAACAGATCTTCAGAATGGGAGAATTTGCATTGCTGCAATGAGAGGGAAGGATAATGCAGTATTGTATATTACAGTAGTCAAGGAAATATTTAAGTACAAAATTGATTTTTCATTTTGTAAGACTCTGATAAGCTTGTATCGGCCCTTAGTAATCCTTGGTTAAGCTCACTGAAATCTTGGGTTTCTATTACATAGGAATTTGACATAGTTCTTGACTAGATGACTAGTCACATTGTCTTTTCGGCTGGGACTCATCCACTCTCCAACCTGGGAAGGGTTGTTTTTGTATGTTTAGATCAGTTATGAGAAGCTGAAAGTCGGAGAATTTGTTCTAATCGTTGACTTCTACTTACTGGCTAAATGACTTTGGGAAAATCATTTATTCTCTCTGGCTCTGTCATCTGTATTTTGGGGGTTTTTTTAAGACAAAACCAGTGGATTTTAAACACATTTTAATTGAAATAGTAACATGGTGTAGGAAAGTATACAAGTCAAAAAAAAAATAAACCTATAGAATAAAGAGGTAATATGCAAATTAACCCTCACACTCTCACAAGATGGCTGCCTGTGACCAGGCCGGCAGGGGGGTTAGTGAGGGACGACCAAACGACTGAACAAGCAGGCTGCATGGGGCGACCAGGCCAGCAGGGGGGGTTAGGGACGACCAAATGACTGAACAACAGGCTGTGTGGGGCAACCTGGCTTGTGCGGGGGTTAGTGAGCGGTGACCAGGCCAGCAGGGGGCTTAGTGAGGGACGACCAAATGACTGAATAGCAGGCTGCGTGGGGCGATCAGGTTGGCAGAGGGGGAGAGTTGGGGGTGATCAGGCCGGCAGGGGGAGCCAGTAAGAGGTGACTAGGGAGGGAGGACAGTTAGGGGTGACCAGGGGAGCCAGTAAGAGGAGACTGGGGGGGAACAGGGGTAACCAGGTCGGCAGGGGGGGTGCAGTTGGGGGTGACCAGACTGGCAGGGGGGGCAGTTGGGGTGATTAGGCTGGCAGGGGGGAGCAGTTGAGGGCAACCAGGCCGGCAGGGGCACAGTAAGGGGTGACCAGGCCAGCGGGGGTGGTGGCAGTTAGGAGCAACCAGGCCGGCAAGGCGGGGAAGTTAGGGCGACCAGACAGACAGGCAGGTGAGCAATTAGGAGCTAGCGGTCCAGGATTGTGAGAGGGATGTCCAACTGCCAGTTTAGTCCCCCAAGGAGTCCGGGATTGGAGAGGGTGCAGGCTGGGCTGAGGAGACCTCCCTCCCACCTCACCCCTCCCCCCCCCCCCCACACACACGAATTTCATGCACTGGGCCTCTAGTATGTCATAAATCAGCGGTTCTCAACCTGTGGGTCGCGACCCCTTTGGCAGTCGAATGACCCTTTCACAGGGGTCGCCTAAGACCATCCTGCATATCAGATATTTACATTACGATTCATAACAGTAGCAACATTACAGTTATGAAGTAGCAACGAAAATAATTTTATGGTTGGGTCACAACATGAGGAACTGTATTTAAAGGGCCAGAAGGTTGAGAACCACTGTCATAAATAAGTAGCTCAAAGAATTTTCATATATGAACACACATGATCAGTAGCTTGTTTTTTGAAAAAACATATTTTTATTGATTTCAGAGAGGAAGAGATAGGGAGAGAGAGATAGAAACATCAGTGATGAGAGAGAACCATTGATCAGCTGCCTCCTTCATGCCCCCACTGGGGATCGAGCCTGCAACCCAGGCATGTGCCCCCGACTGGAATTGAACCCGCAACCCTTCAGTCCGCAGACGGACACTCTATCCACTGAGCCAAGCCAGTTAGGCAGTAGCTTGTTTTTTTAACTTAAAAAAGAATATCAGCTGCCTGTTACAAACAATTAAAATCTCAAATAGAAATGTGTTTAAATGAAGGGGCTTGGGTACAGGACTCATGTTTTCTACTAAGACCCTGAGATGATCTCAAAGGACATTTCTAGCTTTAGTGCAATATGATTTTAAACACAGTAGCACTTGTAAGTATTATAGGAATATTTTATATATGCTGAAGGGGCTTTCCAGTTTTAAGATAACAGAGTAAAGATGTTTATGCTCCTCTTTGATGTCACCCCAAAACAAGTAGAAAAACAAAAACAGGAACATAAATTCTATTATTCAACTATCTAGCAGAGTATACTTGCAGTCCTGAACTCTGAAATGTGTGAAGAAAGAAAGGAAATGGAGTAATAATTGACCTAGGAAGGTGGAGGAAGTGAAACCAAAGAGGCAGCAGAGGCTGTCAATGCAGAAGTAGTTTGCAGAAGAAGCTTAGAAATTGGAGGCAGCGGTACCTGGGAAATCAGAGAGGAGGCCTGGGTCTGAAAAGAGGGGCTTGAAATTCTTATAAGAAACAATTAGCCCCTAAGTCTTTTTTTTTTTTTAAATATATTTTATTGATTTTTTACAGACAGGAAGGTAGAGGGATAGAGAGTTAGAAACATCAATAAGAGAGAAACATCGACCAGCTGCCCCCTGCACACTCCCTACTGGGGATGTGCCGGCAACCAAGGTACATGCCCTTGACCGGAATCGAACCTGGGACCCTTCAGTCTGCAGGCCGACGCTCTATCCACTGAGCCAAACCAGTCAGGGCAGCCCCTAAGTCTTAAGTAAGAAATTTTTCAGGAACTGAAGGACATGATTCTATAGTTTGAAAAGAACTGAGTGTCCAGTACAATTTTTTAAAAGGAAAAAAGAACCATAATATCACTATGAAATTTCAGAATACTAAGTATAAAGAAAAGATTCTAAAAGTTTTTAGGAAAACAAAAAGGATAAATCTATTAAGGATTGGTAATCAGAAAGGCACCCGACTGCAGAATAGCAGCATTAGAATCAACAGGGCAAGGGAACAGACCATCACAGTTCTAAACAGAAAATGATTTCTAACCTTGAATTCCGTACGCACACATATTGCCAAATATGTAGACTAAAGATAGTTTTAGACTTGCAAATCTCAACCACTCTCTCTTAAATATTCCATGCACTATTTCACTGAATACTTCTGGAGGAGTTGCTTTAATTACATCAGAAAAAAAGTGAGGAAGGAGAGAGATAGTAGCAGAAACCAAAACGAGGAAGCCAGAGGATCTAGGAAGCTGGGCATCGTTTCCAGGAGAGAGGTGATGAGTGAGAATTGAGTGATAAGTTTGACAATCAAAGTATATGTGTACCAAATAAAGTACATTTATACTTTCTGCCCATGGACACTGAAGGCTGTTCATAAAGATGAAAAAAATCTATAACTTCGTATGTATGTGTTTTTTCTTTTTGTTTTTTTTAGCTAATAGACCAGTTAAAGCCTGGTGGAAGATTGATATTGCCGGTCGGTCCTGCGGGTGGAAATCAGATGCTGGAGCAGTACGACAAGCTGCAAGATGGCAGTGTCAAGATGAAACCTCTGATGGGAGTGATATACGTGCCTTTAACAGATAAAGAAAAGCAGTGGTCCAGGTGGAAGTGATTTTACCTTCTGCTCTTTCTTCTTCCACACATGCAAGGTGAAAGGGTGTGGATTTTAAGACATTAGCCTGCAAGAGCTGCTTTTTTGGTCATTACTTTAATGCTGCTCCATTTTAACATCAGAAAGTCACTGCATTAAAAATGTAGAAAAGTTGCATGGTCTGCCCTTTTTTTGGTTAAACTCACATCTTTGGGGAAGGGAGGGTGAGACTTGGTTGGCACAAAGGTGGTTTTTTAAACTGCAGTTTAGTGCTAAGGAGATTTCATCACCCGACACTCTGTTTCTATATTTTCAAATCATTTGTATAGATGCTGTGTGGTCATGGAAGCAAAAGCTTCGCTTTGAAGAGACGGGGCCATCATTTCCTGCCCCGTCCACTCTCTGTGATAGCATTGTCGTAAAGAGAAAGAAGGGAAAAGATATTCTTGTCTCAGTTTCCAAGGTGTCAGAGTCCCAGAGAGGACGTTCATCCTCTCAGCTTGACTTCTCTGCCAGTCAAGTTCCTAGATGTCCCACAGCCGGTGCCTGTTTCATATTCAGCTGTTGTTTCAGAGCCACTGTAACAAGTAACTTACTGCCGTTCTAAAGAACAGGCCAGCCAGTTTTTAACCCACTTTAAGTTCCTGGGGAGGAGGGGAGAGGATTCTGTCAACTCAAAGCGAGTGCCCAGGTCTCACAAACCCCCCCAAAGGCCAGCAGCATGCAGCATAGTCTCCAGCACAGCATGGCTCATTACGGCGCCCATTTTGTTGTACCTCTCAGCGTAATCGGAATTATTTTGTTTGAAGCCAAGATTTCTTCTTCCCACTCTCTCCCGTGGGGAGGAGTGCGGTCAGAAAGTAAAAATGACTTAGCTAAGACCACTTGGAATTAAATACCAAAATAAGAAAGGCGTTATAGTTTCCTTGTTTTAGAATCTATTTTTATTTGACAGAGGTATTTAAGACCATTATTTTCTTAATAAGTAACATGGTGATTGTAAGTATAATATATATCTCAATTTTGTTTTTGAATGAATGTTTAATTGCAAAAATGGTAATGAATGTAACTCAGTTTGTTTAAACTGAGTTTTACTTTTAACTAAATTCTGATTGGCCATTTCTGGGATATCTTACTAGGAATTGCATTTTATTCTTCACCTAATGTAGTTATAAAGTTGTTTTCTTTGAATTCTAACCTGGAGCACAGCCACTTCTTAAAAAGAAACCAAAAAGCTATCAGTCTTGTCAGTTATAATCAGATGTAGTTTAACAATGAATTACAATCTTCCTTCACTTTTCTTTTAGTATAGTTATACCATTATATATTTGTATGATTGTTATTGTATAAGGGGGCAAATGTATCATTGAAATTCGATATTAAATAAGAGTTCAGATTTTTATGTTTAAAATTTTATATACAATAAATATTAGTATTGAGCATTCTATCTATAATTTAATGAAGGAAAAGGTATTTTGTTTTTATAATTAGAGGTGGGTTTTTTTATTTTACTGATTTCATAGAGGAAGGGAGAGAGGGAGAAAGAGAAACATCAATGATGAGAGAGAATCATTGATCGACTGTCTCTTGCATGTCCCCACTGGGGATCAAGCCTGGAATCCGGGCATGTGCCCTGACCGGGAATTGAACAGTGACCTCCTGGATCTATGACCCACACTTGGCAGGCCAGAGGTGGAATTTTTTGTTGTTAATCCTCACCTGAGGATATTTTTCCATTGGTTTTTAGAGAGAGTTGAAGGGAGGAGGAGAGACAGAGACTAACACCAAGAGTAATTTGTTTTGTTGTTAAACACTTTTCAGTTTGAGGACCTTCTTAATATATTTATTCAATAAGTATGTGTGTGCCCACTATGCCAGGCACTGTACTAGTTCAGGAATATACAGCTGTGACTTTGAAATTGACCATTCATAGTCATATGGGAGATTAAAAAAAAAATCAAAAGACAAGACAGGCCATTACTGGCATGCCTTGTTTTATTGTGATTTGCTCTATTGTGCTTTGCAGATACTGTTATTTTACAAATTAAAAGTTTGTTGGCAACCTTGGGATGAGCAAGTCTGTCGGTGCCATTTTTCCAACAGCATTTACTCATTTGTGTCTCTGTGTTACATTTCAGTAATTCTTAAAATATTTCAGACTTTTTTTATTGCTATATTTGTGATGATCTGTGATTTTTTTTTTTAATCTGTGGTTTTTGATGTTGCTATTGTAATTGTTTTGGGTTGCCACGAGCCACACCCATATAAGATGGTTAACTTAATTGTTAATTGTTGTTTGTGTTCTGACAGTTCCACCAACTGGCTGTTCTCCTCTCTCTCCCTCTCCTTGAGCCAATTAATAATCCCACAATGGCCTCTAAGTGTTCAAGTGAATCGAGTTGCAAGTCCCTCACTTTAAATCAATAGTTAGAAATGATTAAGCTTAATGAGGAAGGCATGTCAAAAGCTAGACAGGTCGAAAGCTAGGTTTCTTGTGCCAAGTTGTGAATGCAAAAGAAAAGTTCTTGAAGGAAATTGGAAGTGCTACTCCTGTAAAACATGAGTGATAAGAAAGTGAAACAGCCTGTTGCTGATAGGGAGAAAGTTGTAGTGGTCTGTATGTAAAAGAACAGACCAGCCACAACATTCTCTTAAGCCAAAGCCTAATCCCTGGGAAGATTCTAAACCTTTTCAATTCTCTGAAGGCTGAGAGAGGTGAGGAAGCTGCAGAAGTTTGAAGCTAGTAGATAATTGGTTTACGGTGTTTAAGGAAAGAAGGTAATCTCCAAGTGCAGGAAGTGCTGATGTAGAAGCTGCAGCAAGTTATCCAGAAGCTCTAGGTGGGATAATTAATGAAGGTGGCTACATTAAACAATAGATTTTTCCCTTAGCCGGGTTGGGTCAGTGGTTAGAGCAGCAGCCCAGGGACCCAAGAATCCTGGGTTCAATTCCCCATCAAGGGCGCGTACCTTGGTTGCAGGCTCAATCCCCAGCCTGGGTCAGGGTGTGTATGGGAGGCAACCAATCAATGTGTCTCTCTCACATTGATCTTTATACCTCTGTCTCTCTCTCTCTCTCTCTCTCCCTCCCTACCTCCCTTCCACTCTCTCTAATCTCTCTCTCTCTCACACACACACATACAGTAGATTTTCAATGTAGACTAAACAGCTGTCCTTAGATTGAAAGAAGGTACCATCTATGACTTCCATAGCTGGAGAGGAGAAATCAATGCCTGGCTTCAAAGGACAGGCTGACTCTCTTATTAAGGGCTAAAGCAGCTAGTGACTAAGCTGAAGCCAGTGCTCATTTACTATTCAGACAATCCTAGGGCCCTTAAGAATTATACAAAACGTGGATGACAGACACCTGTTTACAACATGGTTTATTGAATATTTTAAGCCCACTCTTGACCTGCTGCTCAGGGGAAAAAAAAAAAGGTTCCTTTCAAAATATTACTGTTCATTGACAAAGCCTCTGGTCACTCAAGAGCTCTGATGAACAAGATTAATACAGTTTTCATGCCTATTAACCTAACATCCATTCTACAGCCCCTGGAATAAGTAGTAATTTGGACTTTCAAGTCTTATTATTTAAGAAATACATTGTGTAAGGCTATAGTTGACACAGATAGTGATTCCTCTGTTGGATCAGGGCAAAGTTAATTAAAAACCTGAAAGGGATTTATCATTCTAGATGCCATTCATGGGAAAAGCTCAAAATGTCCACATAAACAGGAATTTGGAAGAAGTTGATTCCAACTCTCGTGAATGACTGTGAGGGGTTCAAGGCTTCTATGAGGAAGTAGCTCCAGATGAGGTGGAAATAGTAGGAGAACTAGAACTAGAAGTGGAGCCTGAAGATGTGACTAAATTACGCAATCTCATGGTGAAACTTTAATGGATTAGGAGTTACTTCTTGTGGATGAGCAAAGAAAGTAGTTTCTTGTGATGGACTCTCCTCCTGGTGAAGAGGCTGGGAAGATTGATATAATAACAACAGGATTTAGAATATTACATAAACTTATTTGATGAAGTAGTACAGGGTGGAAGAGGATTGACTCCAATTTTGAAAGAAGTTCTGTGGGTAAAATTCCATCAAATGGCATCACATGCTACAGAGAAATTGTTTGTGAAAGGAAGAATCAGTTGATCTGGCAGACTTCATTGTTCTTATTATTCTAAGAAGTTGCCACAGACACCCCAGCCTTCAACAACCCACCACCATGGCCAGTCAGCAGCCATCAACATTGAGGCAAGATGCTACCTGCAAAAAGGTCATGACTCACTGATGGCTCAGTGATGGTTACCATTTATAAACAATAAGATACTTTTTTCCAGGAGAAGTAGAGGGGGAAGGAAAGGCACTCGAGCGCTCCGTAGAGGGAGAACACCAAGATATTTTAAATTAATTATGTACAGTGTTTTTTAGACATAATGCTATTATTGTACACTTAATAGACTACAATATAAACCTAACTATTATATGAACTGGGAAAACAAAAAAATTGTGTAACTCACTTTATTGTGATGTTCGCTTTATTGCAGTTGTCTGAACCTGAACATGCAGTATCTCTGAGGTACACCTACAGAGCGGTGATTTTTAACCTTTTTCATCTCATGGCACACATAAACTAATTACTAAATTCTGCACACCAAAAAATACATATTTTCGCCAATGTGACCAAAAAATAGGTATCATTTTGATTCATTCACACTGGATGGCTATTGTATGTTGGCTGTTGTCATTTTTTAATTTGATAATCTAAGAGAAAGGAGGTCAGTGCCCCTGACTAAATAGTCAAGTATTTCATGTTTTAAAAATTCGTGTGGCACACCGGTTGAAAATTGTTGCTATATAGTGGGTTTAGACTTTGCCTTGAGGGCAGTAGAGAGCAATTAAAGTAATGAAGCCAGGCAGTGATCAGAATTACATTTCAGAACGATAACTAACTGGCTGTGGTAGAGTAGATTGGAAAAGGACAAGACTAGAATCTGTAACAGGAGGTGGCTGCAGCAAGTTATGGGTAAAATGATGGTGGCCTGAATTAAGGCATTAGTAGTAAGGCTAGAATGTGGTTAAAAGGTCCCTTACAGCCCTTACTGGTTTGGCTCAGTGGATAGAGCATCAGCCTGCGGACTCAAGGGTTCCAGATTCAATTCCGGTCAAGGGCATGTACCTTGGTTGCGGGCACATCCCCAGTAGGAGGTGTGCAGGAGGCAGCTGATCGATGTTCCTCTCCCATTGATGTTTCTAATTCTCTGTCCCTCTCCATTCCTCTCTGTAAAAAAATCAATAAAAAATATATGTATTTTAAAATGGTCCCTTATGCCCTTTGGCATGGTGGATAGAGCATCGGCCTGCGGACTGAGGGGTCCCGGATTCGATTCCAGTCAGGGGCATGTGCCTTGGTTGCGGGCACATCCGCAGAGGGGGGTGTGCAGGAGGCAGCTTTTTGAAGTTTCTCTCTCATTGATGTTTCTAACTCTATCCCTCTCCCTTCCTCTCTGTAAAAAATCAATAAAATATATATATATTTTAAAAAAGGGCCCTTACAATTTTTAAGTGCCCACCCCGCATTTGCGAATCATCGTCTAAAAAGCTCCTTAGTTTTTTCCCAGTCTAGATGATGTTTGTTCCTTCAGATTTTGGGGGGGATTAATTTAGCAACTCATCCTAGCACTTTCTTATGAACCTTTTCTTGTTTCTCACCAGCTTTCATCCTTCTCTTATGGAGGAATCCAGAGCTAGATGCAGTGCTCTGAGAGCATGAGCTCTAGTATTTGCTAAGGAGATATGATAGAAACTATTTAGAAAAACAGGATTAGTGGGCATGTCAAATTCTACTGCCAGATATCTATGTCCTGGCTGATGTGGCTCAGTAGGTTGGGCATGATCCCATGCCCTGGAAGGTTGCCGGTTCAATTCCTTGGTTAGGGCACATGCCTGGGTTGCAAGTTTGATCCCCAGCAGGGGGCTTGCAAAAGGCAGCTGATCTATGTTCTGCTCTCACATTGATCTTTCTCTCTCACTCTCATTCTCTTTCCTCTCTAAAAAAAGAAATAAAACATTTTAAAAAAGAATAGATAATATTAAATGTTAGGATATATAATACTAAATGTTAGTAGCTTGGAGCTATTAACCTAATTATGTATAATTATATATTTTAAAACAAAGTAATTGATGTATATAATTATTAACCTGATGAAATATTTAGCACATATAGCCATTTTAAGAGACTCTCTAGAAATTTAGGACATGCTACTTTTTATTAAAAATGAGTTATATATGTAAGTCAGACAAAGAAAGATATGATGATGTAGAATTTTGAACATTAGGAAAAATTAACTTGAAAGTTATACAGATTTTGGAGTATTAGTTGTGACAAAGTTATACAAGGATGGGCAAAAAATGTTTGGTTTTCCTTGGTGCAAAAATGTTAAAAATCAGGTCTAAAAAATTAATTTTTTTTCACTTTAGTGCTATACATTTCCCTCTGTTTGTTTTTGATAATACTGTTACTGACACCATGTGCATCATAAAAAGAGAAAAAAGTACAAAGAATAAAGTAAAATCACCCATAATCCCAGAATCCAGAGATAACCACTATAAGTATTTTGCTAATTTTTCTTACTCTTTTATCCATAACTCTATGTACATCTCTTTTGTATTCCTGAGCTTACTCAGCAGCATTATTTTGTAATCTTTTCATTTCATTAAATATCAACATCGTTTCCATCATTAGAAACATTTTTTGCAGTATGTTTTCTGGTTTCATTGAGATATACTTGACCTACAGTGTGGTGTGAGTTTTAAGTGTACAAAATAATACTTTGACATATGTTTATATTCTAAAGTAATTACCACAATAAGTTTACTTTTATGGTTTCAGGTCCTATATCCAAGTCTTTAATCCATTTTGAGTTTAATTTTTTTGTGTGCATGGTGTGAGATAAGGGTCCAGTTTCATTATTTTTCATGTGGCTGTCCAGTTTTCCCAGCATCATTTATTGAAGATACTATTGTTTTTCCACTGTGTATTTTTGGCTTTTTAATGGATTGACCATATACATGTGGGTTTATTTCTGAGCTTTCTATTCTGTTCCATTGATCTATGTGTTTTTATGCTAATACCCTACTGTTGTGATAACTATAGCTTTGTAATATAGTTTAAAGTCAGGATGTGTTATGTCTTCACCATGTTCTTCTTTCTAATACTATTGCTTTGGGGTTTGGGAGGTTTTATACAAAGTTTAGGAGTATTTGTTTTATTTTTGTGAAAAATGCTGTTGGAATTATGATGGGGATTGCTTTGGATAGTATGGACATTTTAACCTGATTAATTCTTCCAATCTGTGTGCATAGAATATCTTTCCATTTATTTGTGTCTTCAATGTCTTAATGTCTTATAGTTTTCAGTGTATAGATCTTTTACCTCATTGGTTAAGTTTATTCCTGGGTATTTTATTCTTTTTGATGCAATTGTAAATGGGATTGTTTTCTTAATTTCTCTTCTGATAGTTCATTATTAGTGTATAGAAATACAACTGATTTTTGTATATTGATTTTATGTCTTGCAATTTATTGAATTAGTATATTCAAACACTTTTTTGGTGGAGGCTTTAGGGTTTTCTATATATAATATGTCATCTGCAGAAAGAGATAGTTTTATTTCTTCTTTTCCGATTTTGATGCCTTTTATTTCTTTTTCTTGCCTAATTGCTCTGGCTAGGATTTCCAGTACTATGTTGAATAAAAGTGGCAAGAGTGGGCATCCTTGTCTTGTTCCTGATCTTACAGGAAAAGCTTTCAGCTTTTCACCGTTGAGTATGATGTTAGCTGTGGGCTTGTCATATGTGGCCTTTATTATGTTGAGGTACGTTCCCTCTATACCCAGTTTGTTGAGAGTTTTTATCCTTTTTCTTTAAAAAAAAATTTTTTTTCTAAATGGAGAGGATATTTGGAAATGTACTATGTTATTGGGCAATAAAGATATTTACTTACAATATCCTTAATGCCTTGTAACAGGTAAATAAAATGTGGTTATTTATTTAAAAAACAATAGTGGAATCTTCAATTCATATATAAAAAGCACAAGTTAATTTAATTTATGAATTGAGCACTTTGCAAGTACTCATAATTTAATGCTTGCATGATATTAGAAGCTATTCTATAAGAAATAAAGTACTTAAGTTATTTAGAAGAATATATTAAGTGGAACCAGAACTGATGATGTATTGTTTAAAGGTAACCCAGTACTATATGACAATGGTAGCTTATGGGAGAAGTAATTTTAAAAATATATTCTTGCACAATTTACCAAATTCAATAAAAAGAATATTATCTAATAATTCCTTAATTCACCACCTGCCTAGGAAATTTTAGCTCTTTATTTACCTTCCTTTTAAATTTAATGCCTTTTACAAAAAACTTTCCATTACAGAACAGTTGTACAAATAGTACAAAGCACTCCTGAATCTCTTCCTCCAGAGTTAACCAGTTACTAACATTTTTCCACATTTGCTTTCTCACTCCTTCCCTCCCTGTATATCCATATATGTAATATTTTTTTCCTGAATCATTTGAGAGTATTGCAAACATCAAATTTCTTTACTTCTGAAGTACTGTTTTTGTCACTTAGAATACCCTGAGAGATGAAGCTTTTAGACTTTTCAGGTAGCTTTATTTTTTCACTTTTAACAGCTTTATTGAGGTATAATTTACATACCGTACCATTTATTTTAGATTGCATTTTTGTTCCTTCCTTCCTCTCACTGGCAGTTGCTGGTACAGTGCTACACCTGGCTGAGCGAATGGTTTCTTTTGGAGCTGATAAAGCTGCCTTATGAAATCAGCTGACAGGTATATTATACCTACAGATGATGCTTTTCCCCAAAAAAGTTTGGGTTGATATTGACCCACTCAACAACTCCTAACATACTCTAAGCAAAAAGCTAAATTTTTGTTCAATTCTGTGACTGTAACTGTAAAAATTTACTTGGACTCAAATACTCGTCATCATTTTACAATAGTATTAGCAAGATCCTAGATCTAAAACTAATTTCTCTGAATTTTTGGTCTTGAAAGCAGGTTATCTTTAGAATTAAAAAGAAAAGAAATCAGGTATTTTAGGTTTCATACTTCATTCTTAATTTGCATGAGAGATGTTTGAAATGGCTGATTTCCATTTTTGCTTTGACTTGGGACCGTTCTTTTTATTTTAAAAATATATTGCTTGGGGATCAGTGTATTTTTACTGATTTAATAGTTGTATCTGAATTATTAGAAAGTCAAGTTTTGCAGTATGTAACTCCTGCTTACACATTTCTCTCTTTTTCCTCCCCCCAGGGACGAACTGTAAAAGCAACATCAGCTTGACCAGTATATAATATTACAGTGGATTGCTCATCTCAGTCAAAGCTTTTGAAAACCACAGCATCACAGCTTGTTTTGGACTTTGTTACACTCTTTTTTTCAGCATGAAAATGTGTGGTTTTGTAGGGTTTCTAATTCTTCAAAGAGGCACAAAAGCCAAATTGGCAGAGAAAGGATGCAAAGTATACATTTTACTTTAAAATATTAAGCGAAGGCGTTCTGCAAAATGGGAAAGTTAGTTTTTTAATTGATTTGGAGGAGTGGTTTTTCTTTTCTTAGACACTTAAATTCTGTTCCAATATTAATTTTTCAGATTTGCGTTTGTGTATCAGATAACATCACCATTCACAAGTTAAAATTCTTTGGTTTTTTTGATGTCTGTGAGATGCTACTAAGAAAATAGAGATGAGCTCCCTTTTTAAAGCTTTTGATGTGGTGTCATAGAATAGCATGTTGTAGATACAATCAGCTGCTTTGGTACCTTAAAACTAAGCAATTGTAAATATTAAAATTTAGGAAGGTGCAAAGTGATGTTCCTTAACACTCAGCAGTTCAGATTGGACATAACTGACATAGTTCTTCATTTCTCTCTTTAAAATTATATTAGACTTGTAGCTTAGTTTTATTCCTTCTGTTTCTAACTTGCTGCTGTTAATGTATGAATTTAACATGCTGTGTAAGCTGTGTCTTACTTACTGAACAGTTTATGCAGTGCTGCTTTGCCAAATAAAGTTAAAAGTAAAAGAGGCATTGGTGGTGTTTGAATGTAGAATAAAGAACAGTATGTCACCAGATACAGAATGTTGATTAAGATCACAGAAAAGATTATTTCTCTGATGCTCCATCTTGTCAAATACGAGTGGCATTAATTCAGTTGTACATTTGCACAATGAATGTGACTATGTTTCTTGAGAACAAGGACTACACCTCACTTATTTTTCTTTGCTTAACACAGGGTTTGTCCTCTTGTAGATGTACAATAAATGCAGGATGAATGAGCAAATGAATTGACTGAATGTCAGGGAAGAGCTGCGTTGAGGCTAAATTTACCAAAACCCATCTCTCACCTATAAAGGCTTTGTTAATATAAAGACTATAAATGAATTTCAAAAAGTCAGTAGCACTTTGGAATCTTGTTTAATGTTGTGGCTTTAGACCTTTTATAGTGGGATCTTGGTTTTTCTCAGGGTTCCAGAGCTCAAAGCAACATGAGCACTAGAGCTAGCAGAACTAGCACTCCCAGCAAAGCCCTTCCGACTGCTATGCCCAAGTGCGTATGATTCTAGCAAGTGAATGCTGAGCGAGGATGCAAGGCACCTCTCCCCCACCTCTTAACGTCCTAAACATTTCTTCCTTAAAAATGGCTTTAAAAAATTATGCCTGCATCTTCTCCTAGTGTCTCTTTGGGGGCAAGATCTTAGACACAGGAAACTGGCATTCGTTGGTGGCCAAATCTTACGAGTTTCAGTTCTTTATTGGCTTCAGTTTGCTGCTGTTGGTATAGCTTCTGGACCTAGGCCATGAACCCTCATTTGACTCGGTGTCATTTGAGTTAGTTTCAAAGGTGAAGTCTTGGAGAAAGATGAACAAAATTCTGTTATTTGCTTGCAAGAACATTTGATACTTGGATGACTTGAAACGTGAAATGCTTGTGGAAGGATGGAGGGTAGCTGCAGTCTACTTGCACTGAGGATGGCGGGAAAGAATTTCAAGTTTTCAGAAAGGTTGTTTCAGTGGGCCTCTCCTCAGGAAAAGAGATGTGAAGCACACAAACATGTCTGAGAGGTAAATTGTGGACAACTTTCCCTTTAAAATTATTTTTAAACTGTCTTAGATGCAGAACTCTTTCAATCATATAATGAAAAGGTAAGTTGACTTTAAAAAGTCCTGTTCAGTCCATCTGGCAGTGTATTTTGAAGCTCTTGATTCTGCTTCTCTAATCCTTAATTTCCCTCTTTGTAAAATAGGGTTGGTATGGTTAAACCCAGGTAAGATAGTACAGCTCAGTAAATATTGGCAACTTATGATTATATTAAAAAGTTGTTAAGGCTTAAGAATCAAGTATAATTTATTAACAGACTATTGTACATGGGACATCTTTTCTCATGTATTTCAACATCGTTGCAGTACTGAATTTTGTTTAATTTCTTCATGTATAAAAGATGTGCTGAAAGACATGCCTTGACAGTTTTTATTTTATTGGGTATGGCTGTAAGTGACATCCTTCCTTGGAAAACAAAGGGCACAGCATCACGTAGAGAGTACAGACAACTTAAGTTCATTCAGTCATTTCTCTGAACTGTCCTTGAGGAAAAATTTAAATCTTTGCTCAGTTCTAAACTCAATAAAATGCTTGACATTTTCAGGGACTAAAGGAACCATTATTTCCATTTTTCTAGAACTAACTTACCATTTGTTAATGTTTTCGGTTATATCTCCAATCCAAATTAAGCTCTTTGCTAAAGGAACAACCTATCTCAGGTTCATTCTGAAAATGTGTCCTAGAATTTGAAAAGATTGGCCACTTACGGTAAAAAAACAACAACAACACAAACACATTATGTAAATAGGAACATCATGTGAGTATAGACAGGCATCACACTCTGTAGTCCACTCAGAAGAATAATTTCTAGAAAATGTATAATTCTGGCATTAGGTGATGATGGGAATAATTTGCCTTTAAAATCCTACCAAAAAAAAAAAAAAAAACAACCTAAAAGAAGAGATGCTAAACTAGATGCCAGTTTTCTATAAAGATGAATTTGTGCAAAACTGCTTTATGCTCTGAGAATACATAGTCTGGCGTTAGCTGACTGCACATTATAACATTAAATAAATAATGGGGAAAACTCATTCCAGTGGATGAAACAACCAGCTAATATGTAAATGTGACATTTTTACCAAAGGGGCACCCAGAAATCCACTCATCATTCTGCTTTTCAATTTAAATGCACTTTTCTCTCCCATCAATACAGACTAATGTGAGAACTGGTGACTTTTATAAAAATGAGCTGCTGTGTTCTGGACCATTGAGCAGTGTGGAGTAGGCGCAAGAAAGTACTAGTAGTCCTCCTAGCTCACTTTGCACTCAGCGAAGCCGGTTACAATTTTTGACCTGCCAGGTTCTCTCCTTCCACTTCGATTTCCTGTATCATTTCATGCCCATGTTAGAGCTATTTGTAATTCAGTCTGAGTTTTTCCTCCCAAAGGTCAGCCTAATGAGGCAGCTACTTACATGACATGATGTCAGAGGTGCTGGAAACATCTCACTTGAGGTCCATTCTCAGAAACAGGTTTTGCAGGAGAGAGGAGAAGGGAGAGCTATGAAAGGGTAAAGTGAGCAATAGGAGGGCCACAGAACAAGGGGAAGTCGTGCACCATGTGGCACAGGGTGGCCAGGGGCCCATGGCTTCTAAAAAGTACGGAGTTGTTAACACTGCCGTTCTAAGGCCACCTCTTGAGATACTAAATTTTCTGTCTTGGCTAACTACAAATTTCTATTTTCAGGGACAGCATACATAAATCAGAATTAGATTGTAAGTCTTTAGCTGCATGGACTCCTCTAAATTTCAAAATATTTCACATAATTCCAAAGGGAAATATTTCTACAATAAATAAGAACAAAGGTTTGGGGCTTGTAGAATCTTCTGGGTTTTCCATACTTTTCTTAGCCCAGTTAAAAAAAAGATTCTAAATATCCAAAACCCAGTATACGCATAAATTACAAGTGAAACGTCCTTGCCCCAGCTACTTAAGTTATATTTATTAGAGATACATCCCATTGATGAGGTAGTCAGATTCCTCAGATGTAATGGGACGAGCTTTCTTCAGTTTCTGTTTGAGCAGGCGTAGTCGGCAAGCAACCATGAGAAGCAGCAACGCAGTGATGGCCAAGCCCAGTGTCAGTGGCAGCACTGCGCCTGTAAACAGTGGAAGTAAAGAGGGTAGGCCAGTGTTTTTATTGATTTTCAGAGAGATGGGGGAGAGAGAGAAACGGATCGGCTGCCTCCTGCATACTTCCTACTGGGGATCAAGCCTGCAACTTGGGCATGTGCCCTGATTGGGAATTGAACCAGTAACCTCTTAATGCATGGGACAATGCTCAACCACTGAGCCACGCTGGCCCAGCAGCCTGGCGGTGGGTCCGTGATTGGATAAGCACTTCGTTTGCGCTATTTCATTTAATCTAAGTAACTCACTTAAGTAAACAGATACCTGCATTACCAGCATTTTGCAGATTAACTGAGTTGCCAAGAGATTAATTGATCTAAGAGCACACACATAGCTTGTACATGGCAGATTGAGGTCTCAAAGCCAGACTTCTTTATACCCAAATTTTCTACCAGGTTCCTACAGAATTTAATGGCATCAATGGGTACAAATGTTGCAGTCAGATCAGCCTCATGTCCACTGTAACAGACACCCTGTCAGCAGGCAAGTGTAGACACTGTGACCACAGAAAACTTCATTGCAGTCAACAGGTGACATTTATGGATTCACACATGATCATTCCCTCCGAAAACAAGTATGGACAACTCCTGATGTTACTTTTTATTTATTCTTTCTAAATCCAGGGAACCTAGTTCCAGCCAGTAGAACCATGGTTGAAAATTAACTTCAAAATATGCTGGTGTAATTCTGGCTAAGGGTAGTTGAGGGAAACGGTTTTCCTGTGGGGCTGTTCCTACACAGCCAGACTAGAAGCAGCCTTTAGAGCAGTGGTTCTCAACCTTGGCTGCACATTAGAATCACCTGGGAATCTTTTTAAAATCCTCATTTCTGGGCCTCATCCTCCATAAATTCTGTCTCTTTGTTACTAATGTTGTGGCCCCACCCCATAACAAAGAAACAGAATTTCCGGAGGATGAGGCCCAGAAATCAGGATTTTAAGAAGATTCCCTCCCAGGTGATTCTAATGTGCAGCCAAGGCTGAGAACCACTGCTTTAGAGGCTTGCCGGAGTTTGGGAGGAACAGAGTATGCCCTGGATCAGTCTTTCTGTAAAAAAGAAAAAAGACTGATAAATACTTGATAAATTTAAGGTATATAGCCTGTTACTTGAATACATTTATATATTGTTTTTTTTAAATTATATTTTATTGATTTCAGAGAGGAAGGGAGTGGGAGAGAGCGATGGAAACCATCAATGATGAGAGAATTATTGATCGGCTGCCTCCTGCATGCCTCCTACTGGGGATCAAGCCCACAACCTGGGCATGTGCCCTGACTAGGAATCAAACCGGGACCTCCTGGTTCATAGGTCGATACTCAACCACTGAGCCACGCCAGTTGGGTGATACACTTATATATTGTAATATAATTGCCACTGAAGCAATATTTATCACATCATTAAAGTACAATATTATTGTCTATATTCATTATACCATGCATTAGCTCTCTATGGCTTATTTACTAAGTGAGATAAAACAGAGAAAGACCATTATTATATGATATCATTTACATGTGGAATTTTAAAAAGTCGAACTTGTATATAAAAAAGCAGATCAGTTTTGTCAAGCGCAGGCCTTATTTTTAGTCTGACCTACTTTCTGGTCAGCCCAGTCTTTCAGATGAGATGGTGGAGCTATTTTTAGCTATAAGGGTCTTGCCAACTGGTGGAGCTAGAGGAGCAAAATCTCCATTGCATAAGCCGATTCTATAGCCTTTTCTTTCATTTATTCATTCTTTCTGCATTAATTAACAGCCAGGTGCCTGACACTGAGCTAAGCGCTGCTCATCAACGATGATAAGCTGCTGCTGAGGCGTGCCAGCACTGTCCTCTGTGCTTTCTCACTTCACTTGTCTAATTCTCAGCCACCACGTGAGTTGGTAGAATTCTTATCCCCATTTTACAAATGAGGTACCTAAGGCACCGATAATTAAGTGACTCGGCTGAGTGTATGGTTAGTGGTGAAGCTAGGACACAGCCCCAGACAGTGCAGCTCCAGGACCACTGGGGTCCAGTACTGCTCCAAAAGGAAGAGGAGGTCATAGCCTAGTGACCTCCAGTCTGGGTAGATAGACATTTAAGTGGGAAAACGCAATAAGAAGTACAGGTGTAAGAGGAGTGTCTGTGCATCTGGTTCACTGGATCTTGGCTTGAGTGACCTGGATGTATGATGGGTCTTTTTGGGTGGGCAAGGGAGATGTTTATTTTTATTTCTTTATTTTTGAGGTGTTTATTTTTTGACATTTTCAAATTGAGATTCCTAGAGGTGACCCAGGTGGTTGTCTAGTAGGTTTGGGGTTATTCGGGCCTAAATATGTGGGAGCCGTTAGCATCAAGGTGGTGGTTGCAGCCATGAAAGTGGGTGAGATTGCCAGAGAGGAAGGAAGGGAGGTTGGGAACAAGGCCCTGAAAAACACCACCATTTAAGGGGGCAGACAAAAGGAGAGAACGCAAAAGAATAGGAAAAGTCAGGTCAGAGAAATGGTAGGGCAACCAAGACAGAAGGGTGTCTTAGAGCAGAAGGAAGAGACTATGTCAAGAGAAAAGTGCTCAGCTGCATAGATGCTAAGGAGAGGTCCGGGGAGGTGAAGCCTCAGGAGGCCACTGGGCTTAGCAGTTAGAAACCCAGGGACACCATTGTGTTGGGAGAGATCGGAATGTGGCTGCAGCTGTTGGGAATAAGCCATAAAGAAACATTAAAAACAGGAGGGTCGGTGAAAGATCCCAGGTTCAATTCCGGTCAAGGGCACATACCCAAGTTGCAGGCTTGATCCCCAGTAGGGGGCATGCAGGAGGCAGCCGATTAATGATTCTCTCTCATCACTGATGTTTCTCTCTCCCTCTCCCTCTCCCTCTCCCTTCCTCTCTGAAATCAATAAAAAATAACAAACAAAACCCAGGAGGGTTAATACAGGATGGAGAAATGTACCTGAGAAGATAAGGGCCTGCATCAAGGTTGGGGGAGAGACTGACCTCGGGAGAGGAAACATCTCCTTTAGTACAAGAGGAAAGGCAGAGATGGTGGGTGCAAACAGACAAGAACTTACAATAGGAGGGAGCTGAGGAAGTTCACTCCTGATAGCTTTGATTTTTCCAGGCTTAAAACTGGTTCCAGGTAGAGTGGTCTCCTCTCCAAGACAAGAGGAGAGCTGAGTACATACTAATGGCATTTCAACTAAGAAGATTTTGTCTGGGAGTGTCTGGCACAGGAGGAGGGGATGTGGGAGTTGTGGTAGTGACTGTTGGGTACCAAAGGCTGGTATTACGTAGAGAATTGTGAAAGATAAAAATCTGTGATAAACCAACGGTCTAGCATTGACTCTAGAGCTGGCTCATACAATCCACACACAACAGCCCCTCTGCAGGACTCTAATCACTGCAGAATTTCTCCACGTGACAGTTGAGCTTTGGCCACTAGAATTTCCTAATGGCCACCCTGAAGAAGGCAGTTTTAAAACGGCCAAGGGCCATGAAGGTGTCGGTTCCCCCTCCCTCCCTCCCTGCGTCTTCCAGTACTAGCCACGTAGGTTAGAAATGTTACAAAGGAATGGGGCAAAGGAGAGAAGGGCCAAGCTCTTGTTCAGGCAAGAAAATGATTAAAGGCTGCCCTTAAGGATGAGCTCCAGTGTTTAGGCTACAGGGTACAGTAAAACACATACAATCTAGGGGGATTTTCTATGGGCTAAGTCAGATAGGAGGCTGCTGAACTGTCAAATCTGATTCCTGTTTACTGCTTTGATGACAAGGAAAATGAAATCTCCCAGAAAGTGCTTGCTAGAATACAGAAAATTCTTATGGAGTTTTAAGTATTTCTTCAATGTTTTTAGTTTGGGTTCTTTGAGATTTAAAACGTTCTAACCCCTGTTAAACCACATCATGATATTTTTCTCAGAAACCAGCTAAGGGGGCGAACTGGGTATTCTGTTCATATGACCGGGAGTGGCTCTTTTTATTCAAATATCTTGGGTCAGGGTGAGTCCAGCAGGACAGCAGACGGGGCAGCATCCATGTGTTTGACATCTGGAATATTTTGGCCATCCATTGTTAAAAAATTATACTCTAATGTGGAGAGTGGCTACAGCTTTTGGACAGGTTCAAGCCTGGGACTAATGAGAGGGCATGATCCTCTCGTGGCAAAGCCACGTGCAAGTCCCAGCACGATTATAGCCAAAGGCTATACTAGTTGTAAGCTTGACCTTATGGTCCGAACCTGTGGCCCCACGTGGCTGAGTGATATGGGCTGCGGGAGGTGCCACAAGTAAACAAAGCTTGATCAGGTGCATGTAATTGAGTAGATTCGAAACCCGCGAGAACGTTGTAACCACCCTTACTTTGCCTCCTGGGATCTGGCTATAAAATAAAGACTCGGCTTGCAGGCCGGGGCGCTGTCTCTCCATCAGAGAGGGCAGCGTCCCACCTAGACCTAGCTTTTTTTCTCTTGTCTGTCTTTTCTGAATCCTTCACCGCTCCCCCTGAGGTTCACCCATGGACGTGCCGGCTCGGCACACTTTAATTTGTGTAAATATTACAAAAGACATTCTAGGGTGAAAAAGAAAGTTTTCTCAACTTAGATCTACAACTGAAGAATCGTCTTTCGTTCCCCTAAATTTTCACTAGTTAGTTTAGGGATTTAGGACTAAAGCCTGACTTCCTACAGGACTATGTAGAAAGTGTTTTCTTTCTAGTTAAAAACAACCAAAACTATGGAATGAAGAGACTTTTCTTCCACTTACTAAATATTCCCTCTACTTCCTACACACTTTCCCTGTTCCTATTGGCTTCTGTCTTTGCATCAGAACACTTGGAGAGAACTGGGTACTCTAAGACCTTTACTCTTGTTGTATCACAAATAACTCAGTAATAATAACCGTCATTGTATGAGCCAAGCACTGTGCTAAGTGCTTTGTATTTACTGTCCCATGTATTCTTCCTAACAACTCCGGGCAGGTATAGTTCTTAGCTCCATCTTACACAGGAGGAAATAGAGATCCAGAGAGAGAAGAAATCCTGCCCAAGGTCATAAAGATCAGTGGTGGAGGAAGATCTGAACCTGGCATCTTGTTCTTAACCACAATGCCACGAATATTACTCTTTTCACAGAAGGTTACACCTGGAAGGGACCATGGTGATTATCTAGTTCAATCAACTTTTAAAGGGGAAGCTGAGGTTCAAAGATGTAAGGTGACTAGTGTAAGTGCCCGAAGGTGAAGCTTGATATAGGAGATGATGAGAAATCAGTTCTGATCCACAGACCACTGCTCTTGTCTTGAGCTGTTCAAGTTTTTTCTGGTATCCTCAACTAGAGGGTATGTGATTCTGCAAATCTTTATACTCTGCGTCCTAGCTGGTTTGGTCCAGTGGATAGAGTGTCAGCCTGCAGACTGAAAGGTCCCGGGTTCGACTCCGGTCAAGGGCACGTGCTTGGGTTGTGGGCTCGATCCTCAGGACATGCAGGAGGCAGCCGATCAATGATTCTCTGTTTCTATTTCTCTCTCCCTCTCCATTCCTCTCTGAAATCAATAAAAATAACGAAAAAATAAAAAACTGAGTGAAGAATTTTAAAAAAATCTTTATACTCTGCAATGAATTTTCAAGGTACATATTTGTGGAGAGCGGCTACAGTGTTTGGACAGGTTCAAGCCTTGGACTGAGAGGGCACAGTCCTCTCATGGCCACGTGCAAGTCCCAGCTTGGAGGGCAGATCCCTCCCAGCACAATTATAGCCAACAGCTGTAGTTGTAAGCTTGAATCTATGGTCCGAACACGTGGCCCCACATGTCTGAGTGATGTGGGCTTGATAGAGTTCAGGTGCATGACAATGAGTAGGATCGAAACCTACGAGAATGCTGTACACGTCTTGACCACGCCCTTACTTTGCCTCGTGGAATCTGGCTATAAAATAAAGACACGGCTAGTAGTCCATGGCGCTGTCTCTCCATCTGGGAGCAGCGTCCCATCCAGACCCAGCCTTTTCTCTTGTCTGTCTTTTCTCAATCCTTCACCGCCCCCTCTTAGGGTCACTGAACCAGGATGAGCTGGCACGGCACATAAGGTGCCCTGGGGCTGAGTATGCCATGGCCGTGCCGGCTCCCCACACATATTTACCTATTTCTGGGGCTGGGTGTTCCCCTCCTCCTCGATTGCTCTTTGACTCAAAAATATAATTTTCTTCTTTTTCGTTCTTCCCCGAGGAATCACTATCTGGAAAATAAGTAGGACACATATTGAGGGTACATCAGAAACTTTAGAAGAAAGACATGAACGTACAGCATCTATTTCTCTAATAAGCATAGGCCTAAGCTTATCACCAATTCACTAGATAAGTAATGTGATCGATTTAATGCAGCAGAATGTGTGGCCAGTACAAAACCACTGGACAGAGAGAGGGGAACAAGCATATTGTGCCAGGACTCCCACCTCCACCTGAGAAAAGGAAGGAAGGGACTCGGCCAGAGAAGTCAAGGGTAGTCTCTGAACTTCATACAATGGAAAGCAGACGCAGTCCCGAAAGGTTTTTCTTCATAAAAAAGGAACAGAGCATACAAAAGGCACATGGACGCTCTATTTCACTTTCTCACCTGACCCTATGTATACTATTGAGATATTTTTTTTTTAAAATATATTTTATTGATTTTTTACAGAGAGGAAGGGAGAGGGATAGAGAGTTAGAAACATCAATGAGAGAGAAACATCGATCAGCTGCCTTCTGCACACCCCCTACTGGGGATGTGCCCGCAACCAAGGTACATGCCCTTGACCAGAATCGAACCTGGGACCCTTGAGTCCGCAGGCCGACGCTCTATCCACTGAGCCAAACTGGTTAGGGCGAGAGGAGATATTAAGAAAGATAAAATCTTACAATTTTTATCCCAGGTTCTCCTAATGAGCAATGGCTGGTCCATTCTATCATTTCCTCTCTAGTAATTTATAGCATTTGTGTGCTTGTTACATTGACAATATAATAATGAGTTAGTAACGTTACCCTCACACTGTGGTGTGATTTCAAGTGCGATTTTTGGGAAATACAAGGCTTAATGTCTGTAAATTAGAAATGATCAGCTGACATGAGGAATTTTATGGAGAAACAAACATTTTAAAGCTTCCTTACTCATATGGCATCAACAGAAGTGTTCAGGACACCTGCAACTGAAACAAGACTATTTAAAGGGACTAGATGCATTTATTTGGTAATTTGTACTAAGAAAAATACATCAATTTACTAAGGATCACAAGTCATCTGGATAGTGGAAAATTGTAAAGTTAATCCCACCCAAAGTGCATGAGACTTGCTTCTCTGTACTCATTTAAGCATTAATTATTACACTTTTCCACCTCTCCCAATGTGATAGATGAAAGACTGCCTCTCCTACTTTCTGTATTACATTACTAGCATTAACCTTGGTATCGATTCAGTATGTCTAAAATGAGTTAAACGTGTGTGGGGGAAGGAGGCAGAACATTTAACTGGTTCATATTTCTTGTACTAGCTGTTGATTCTTGTAGAACAGGCATAGGTCATGAACAATAATGTATTTTTAAATCTATGTTATGCTGAATATAACATCATTTCAACACATATAGAATTGGAAGCTGAGGAGAAGGCTGTTGTCTAAACGAATGCCACGTGCTATGAGGGCCTCTCCGACACTTTCAAAGTTCTACTCTGCCCATTTCTTTGGTCCTGGATTTTCAAACGTTGTGTTTTTGATGGATAGTTAGTAACACATAAAAATGCTCATAAGAAAAATAAGCTTTGTAAAAATATCCTAATGTTCTTAAAAGTAAATGTGCGTGCATATGTGTATAAATAAAAGTAACCAGAAGAAAATGTAACAATGTTAACAGTGAGCTTTGCTACATGATTTAAAAATTTTTTCTGTATTCTCCAAATTTTCTACTATAAATGCATATCACTTTAATAATTAGGAAAAAACAATATATATTATAAATAACTGAATATCTACTCTCTCTTCATCTCTGAAACTTCATTCCTTACATCTTCATAGCCCAAGGCAAAGGCTTCATATCTGAAACAGAGGTTGCAAATATATCTCAAACTGGGTGGCAACATTATTTTCAAAATGATTCTGAGGCTGAGTCTTCACTCCCCAGGAGGCGGCGCTGGGAACACAGTAAGAAGCTTGGAAATTCCTTGGCAGGTGGGATGAGGGAACTGAGACAAGCAGTTAAACAAGGCCAAGCAATTAACAGCCTGCTATTAACACAGGATCGTATCTTCCCTAACCAAGAACAATTAGGAGCAGATGGTTTACACCTCTCCTTCCCAACCAGCAAGCAGGTAGCTTAGATCACCTGGTCCGGGAGATAGATAACAGGCCCAGTGGGTGCCACTAGTGCCAGCCAAACCTCAGAACGGATGCAGTCAAGGGAACAAATAACAACAACAAAAGAAGAGCCAGGCAAACCCAAGATAAAAGTAAAGAAAGCAGTGAAGCTGACCAGGGAATGATCCCCAACTCCCCTATACACTCATCTTGATGCATCAGCATATGAAAGGTCACACCCGGAGAGCTGTTGAATATTCCGTTGAGACCCTCCCCTGAGACCTATCCTAAAACTCCTGCCTTTATTTTTTTTACTACTGTTTTTTAAAAAATAGGACTTTATTGATTTTAGAGAGAAAGGAAGGGAGAGGGAGAGGGAGAAGGAGAGAGAAACATCAATGATTAGAGAGACTCATTGACTGCCGCCTTCTACATGCCCCCTACTGGGGATTGAGCCTGAAACCCAGGCATGTGCCCTGACCAGGAATTGAACCGTGACCACCTGCTGGTTGAGCTAATGCTCAACCACTGAGTCACACCAGCCAGGCTAAAACTCCCGCCTTTAGACAACAGATTAAAAACCATTAAGACCAAGGACCCGGTATGTGCTCCCTCTTGAGCACGCCATGCCACCCTTTCCTCAGGCATGTACTTTTGCTTTTTCTCCTAAGCTCTAAGGGTCCCCACTGACAGGATCACCGAGCAATCTAGCACAGATTTGGGCCGATGAAGTTCTGTATAAACATCAGGCTACTTAACATCCCTGAAACAGGCTCTCAGTGCTGGATGGGGCCTTAGGCATAACTGATGAGGAACTACTTTCACATGGGCCTCTCTAACACAGTAAGCAAGAGTTCCTCTACCCTGGTCTCTGAAAACTCACTTCTCTCCGTCAGCTCTTCATTCCTCCTGCCAAAAACACCTGGTCTCCCTTGACTGTTTCTTAGGTGGCTGTCTTTTCCATGTAGAGAAAACGACTGTAATTCCAAGGCAGGGCTGAAGTGACTGATTTGCCCAGTAGGTGGCAGTATCAACAAGAAATTGACCAAAGCAGGCATCTGAAGGGCACTGAACCTAAACTGTCAAAGCAAAAGGCCCTGCCAGCATGGCTCAGTGGTTGAGTTTAGACCTATGAATCAGGTCATGGTTCAATTCCCCATCAGGGCACATACCCGAATCAATGATTCTCTGTCACCACTGATGTTTCTCTCTCTCCTTCTCCCTTCCTCTCTGAAATCAATAAAAATGTATTTAAAAAGAAAAAGAAAGGCCCCCTATGGAATTTTTGCAAACATATTTGTATGGAAGCATTTAAAATCCACAAAGTAGATAAACAAAATATTGGAAGCAAATGTACCAAAACATTAACATTTTTTTTCAATAAAGGCTGATATTTTAAGTCATTTCCTTTTTTCTCATTTGCATCTTCTGTACCTTCTGCAATGAACAAGAAATTGTCACAAAGAAGTTATTAAACTAGTGATAGGTTACTTCAGTTTAATGTATGCAGAGTTTGAGTATGGAAAAGATATTCACAAAAGCATACATAAATGTGATAGTCTATATTTCTCATATTACACAATGGTACACATATAAATGAGTAAAAATTAATTTAAAATGATATAATCCTATAATGCTTCAGCAGTGTGGATGCATTTAAAAATCTTATTAGCCTTATTTTAAAAATTAAAAGTTACAGATTTAGTTAAATTAGAGGCATAACAGTGAATCACCAGCACATGCAACCATTTCAAAATGACATATTACTTCCTTCACTTTCACTTGCTTAGTGTGAGGCGGATTTACATGAATATATTGGGATTATACTGCTTCATCTCAAAATAACCGCAAATTTAACACTTAGGGCATTAGTTGCCGGAATATAAGTGTTTCTTATCTCTAATTTATTTACAAATAAATGTATTGATTATTGATACCTCTGGAGTGTGTATCCAGGTATGAATGTATGCTTGTATTTAGTAGGTGTTTCTTACTATAAAAACTAATCAGTGCAAATGGGAGGTTTTATTTTTTCTTTTGGCCAAATTCTTCATTGGAATGCTCCTCTTTCTTTTAAGATAGTTCCTTACCACTCTCCAAATACAACCTTAATTTTGAGCCAAGTGTCCGCATAGAAATCAAAGCTCCTTGTGGAGAACCTGTCTCAAGCCCTCACCTGGCATCACGGGGTCAGTTTGAATCTTTGGTCCCCAGGAGGTGGAGTGGTTCCTCTCCGTGTCTGGTAGCGCCGGTGGCGGGTGGGGGGCAGCGGCTTCCTGAGACTTCTCCAAGAAGCGCCCTGCTGCATCTTCGCTCGCCGCTATGGTTCTAGGCTGGGCAGTCACCGTGTGAGTCTCCGTCTTCCGGTCAAGGCTCACTGAAGCGGGCGAGAGCTAGTTAGTTGTTTACTGGGCTTCTTTTCTGAGCTTCAACTAAAACCACTAAATCTGCAGTAGATTTTAAGTCATGGGTATTTGGGAATAATAACGTATCCAGTTAAGACATGTATGTCAGAGTCTCATAAAAACCTCTCTCTCGTTTTTCCAATGAGTGATCTCTCTTCTAGTAATTAACTTTTTGTCACATATAAATTGACAGAGAGAAAACTTTTAAACCTTGTGAGATTCCTCATCCTTCCTCAAACCAACACTTGATTAACTTTCTGCAGCTTTTCTTCTTTCCTGTGGGTCATGTGTATGCATACGACATGCGACTGCTTTGCAGACAACTTAGCCACACCACAGTCTGTCATGCATTTTCTAAAAAATTTATCCAAACAAAATGCTAACTCACTTCAGTTCTTTAAAAAGCATATATGATAGAGCCTTTTTCGGATGGTGAAGAATCTCTTGGAAAAGTGCGAACAATTTCTGAAAAAGGTAAGCAATATAAGCTCTCTGATGTTTGTAACTAGAATGAGAGACTCAATAAATGCTGCTCATTTAAGGCAAAGCCTGTTCACATCAAGTTATACCTGAAACCGGGCGGAAAAAGACATCAAGTTACACCTGAAACCGGGCGGAAAAAGAGCTATACAGCAGGTCCTCGGGTTACGTCGAAGATCTGTTCCTACGGCGCGATGTAACTCAATTTTCACCGTAAGTCGGAACCCACCTACATAAGCACCTACACGTCACTCTTTTTTTGTTTTTTTTTTTGTTTGTTTGTTTAACAGCAAAAAAATTTTAAAAGATAACAATTCCTGACCTTTACTTGCGGTAAATAATAAAAAAACATAATGCATATATGTACATACATCGAAATGACGGAACTTTTTCTTATAAATAAATGGGAGAGGGTGACGTAACCACGAAATGACATACGTCGAGTCTGACGTAACCCGAGGACTGTCTGTATTGACTTGCATATAATCAAGAGGATACAGGCATCCCTTCTGCCCCAACAGGCCACGCAGCCGACTCACAATTTTGACAGAAAACTTCATCAGATCCGTCAGGACACTGCTCGACTCCATCACAAGCCAGTGTGATGTCAATGCAACAGCCGTCGTCACAAAAGAAGTGGTGGCGTGAGCAAACCTTTGAGCATCCTGTTCATAGACAAGACTCCAGTCACAGGACTGCAGGAGAGCTGCCTTCCACCTCAGGATGAACAGAGACTCATCGTGTGATGAAATGCATGTGGGTGAAGAGATACAGGTGAGGAAGCACCTAACAGTCGGAGCTGGAGCAAGAGGCCCCTGACTTAGTTCTCGGGAATCACCCGGGCTTCACGTTAGGGCTCTTCTCCACGCCGACATTGCCACGAGGTGGGACGAGGGAGGAAGCAGCTCTGGTCCTCCCCACCCTGACCTGGGCCTCCTCACTCGGGCCTCACTCTGCGTTAGTTCCTTCATCCCACCACCTTCTCGGTCAGCCCCAACCCTGCATGGCACGTGGGTGGCTGACCGTTGCATCCGGTACACCATTTTACACATGCTGTGTCTTATATTCTCATTTCCTAAGCAATGATTTTTACTGAGATTAACTTTTTACTACTGACCCCTATTTGTTGACCACCATACCTCCTTGGTGCTGTAAAGAATAAACAGAATCTTTAGGTACCGGCTGGTATGAATTTTTCTTCTCTAAATAATGAAATTGTCTCCTTTTTGGAGCTCTTAGGAGTTTTTAATCCGCAGTCCAATTCATAGGAGCTACAATGTATTTTCCTAAAAGGCATTTCCCCACTCCAGAGTAAGCCCACTCTACTAGACTCAGCTATGTAACAACTGGGGGGCTTCCTGACACTGGGAATGCAGACGAAAGATTTCAGGCTAGAAGCCTGCAACCTTGGCCAAAATCTTGGCCAAAATCGAACCTGGGACCCGTCAATCTAAGGACTGACGCTCTAGCCCAGCCGTGGGCAAACTACGGCTCGCGGGCCGGATCCGGCCCGTTTGAAATGAATAAAACTAAAAAAAAAAAAAAGACCGTACCCTTTTATGTAATGATGTTTACTTTGAATTTATATTAGTTCACACAAACACTCCATCCATGCTTTTGTTCCGGCCCTCCGGTCCAGTTTAAGAACCCATTGTGGCCCTCGAGTCAAAAAGTTTGCCCACCTCTGCTCTAGCCACTGAGCCAAACCGGCTAGGGCTGATTTGTCTTCAGTGTGCTCCTTGCTGCACTATTGAGCGTACATATCAGACAGGCCACACACCTTTAAACTAGATCCTCTCCTGGAGAAGCCTCATGATTGTCTTTTATGAAATCCAGTAAAGAAAGATGGAGCCGCTCCGGGTCCCACGGCTCTCACAGTCTATCCCTACCTCAGTCCAGCAGTGTTGCTGGACGGAAGCATAAAGGAGCTACTTTCGTGATCACAGTTTTAGTAGAGATTCTCAGTCAACACCACCCAAAAATAAAACGGAAGAGCCAGTGGAATGCGTAGTTAGAATATAAAATGCCACTCTGATCCCACCCTCTGTACACAGTCTGGGTTCCGTGGCCTCTGTGAATTCCAGGGAAAAACTTCCTCCTCACCTCGAGTGGGGAAGGCCGGGGGCAGCACGGTCACCGAGACGTTGTCGGCGCTCCTCTGCCCCGCAGTGTCCGTCACGGTGAGCTGAAAGGTGTACCGTCCTTCCTGCAGGTGGGACAGCTTCAGCGTCCCTGGCTGAGGCACCTGCCACCCGAACAGGAAGCATCACATTTGGTTAGAGATGTGAGGCGGAGCCCAGCGTTGCCCTGAACTGGAAAGCAGTGTCCTCCTCGTAGCAGCCCCATGACCTGCCTCCCCATTCCCCGCCCAAGGCTGCGGAATACTAAGCCATACCCCATTCTGGCAGGCTGGCCCTCCTTTGAATTCCCAATTCCCAATGCTATCTGGACTGACAATACCCTCGACTGACAATCCTTCACTTGTCTTCAACAGCCGCTGTTCCAAACCTGCGCCTCTTCCTAGCTCCACACCCAACAGCCAGTCCCTCCTTCTCAGCAGGAGACCCCCTCTACTTCCAGAAGAAAATTAGGACCATAAGTATGGTTATAACCACGGCTCCTCCATTCACTGCCACGGCACCCGTCCCTGTACCACCGTCACCTCCTCTGCTCCAGTCATTAGGTGACCTGTCTCCGTCTCACACTCCACCCATCAACTATTCCTTGACCCCTTTCCTTCTAAGACCTCACTGCTATTATGAAGCTCAAGTTTCTCTTGACCTAACAAACAAAACAATGAGAAATAAAAACTCCCCAGAGTTTCCCCTTCTCCAGCCACAGTGTTATTTCCTTTTCAGATCAACTCAACTTTTTGAAAAGGCTGTCCATGCTGCACATGCTGTTTCATTTGCTCATTTTCCATTGATTGTTTGTCTACCCATCTGGCTTCTTTCTCCACCATTCCCCAGGCACTGTGCTGGTAAAACTTGCTAACTGACCTTGTAAGGGTTACCTAGCATCGAGGTCAACAATACTTATTCCTCTTGTCTTTTTTTTTTCTTCCAAAAATAAAATCGGCCCCCTTACTGTATGTAACATTGTTGGCCACTCCTGTCTTCTGAACTCCCTACTTCCCTGGTTTCTGTTTCTGTGTCCGAGTTCCCCTAACTATTCCCCGCTGATCGCCCTCGTGGGCGTCTATTCACTGTGGTCACCAGGCTGGGCCAGAGCTCTCTGTGAAGGTGAGTGAGTAGCTGGGCCTCTGGGGTCGACTCTGGGCACGCCAGTGTCAGACTAAAACTGTGGGCCTGCGGTGTGCGGGAAGCCTTCTCCAACTCAGGGTGGAGGACAGAGCATCCCCTGTCCCTGGGCTGTGATGCCTTCCCAGGCCCCTCCTCTCCAATGCGGGAAACACCAGGCCTGGATCCAGACCTGGGTAATGACCTTCAGCATCCTGGAGGCACTGGAACTTAGCATGTGCCCTGACTGGGAATTCAACCGTGACCTCCTGGCTCATAGCTCAACACTCAACCACTGAGCCACACTGGCTAGGCTATTTCTATTGAGATGTAAAAAGGATAAATATAAGGTCCTGCACTCTGGTTCAATCAATCAATTACACCAACAAGATGGGGAGGCCACCAGGGCAGCAGTTCATGTAAAAGATGAAGCAGGCTTCAGGTAATCCTGCCAATGGAAAACTCCACATGCCCATGATGCAGCTACTAAAGCAGCTTATGTAAATTAAGCTTCATTAATAGAAGTAGAGACAATGTCTGGATCACAGGAGCTGACAGCTGTGTCAGGAAGATACACACATCTTCAGTTGACATACGGGGTTCAAAAAGGGGTGCCAGGTTTTAAGAAGCATGTGGATGAGTCAGAAAATCCAGAAGAGGCTGGGTGGTGGGTTGTCTGGAAATCAATTCATCTGAAAGAAGGGGGAGTACTGCTTTCTGAGGAAAGCATTCCCAGTGGTGACATTCATTTTTTTCCCCAAAGAGTTAAGGGACTCTTAAGAATAAAGAAAGATGTGTCCAGTGCTTTTCCAAAGAGAAGACCCAGTACAATACACAGAAGTAACAGGGAGGCATATCCTGTGTGCCAAATAATTACAGCTGATTAAAGACACCAGAGGACCTGAGGCAAAGTAGTGAGCGTGTATATCTGGGAATAGCTAGGCGGATAGTGGGAGCCCTCTGGAAGGTATGCCGCAGAAGGGGCTCTGGATGGGATATGGATGGAAGGCTGGGTACCGTGTGGAACAAGGGCCCAGCCCAATTCTAAGATGGCATAACCACCGAATAAATCAGTGTATGTAAATCAGTCTTGAGAGACCAGGTGATTGTTTTTGTTTCAATCTCAATAGAATACAAATCAGTGGCTCCCCACAGAGGGGACACCATGTGAAGACACAGGAAGGAAAACAGCCAACCATAAGCCAAGAAGAAACTAGAGGCCTTAGAAGAAACCACCCCTGTTGGAACCTTGACCTTGGACTTCTCCCCTCCAGAACTGTGAGGACATAAACATAGGTTGTTTAACCCAAGCAGTCTGGGTTACTTTGCTGTGGCAGCCCTAGCAAACCAACACAGATTCCCCCCACTTCCTCTAACTCAACCCCTCAGCTTGAGAACCGCTGTGAGTGGTTTGGGGGAAGTTTATCTGCGCAAGCCAGGAAGTACTGTGTACTGCCTGCAGCTGCTGACACAGAGCTCAATCCCACCTTAGCAATTGCAGCTGGGCCCAGACCAGCCTGATGACAATCAGGGTGGAGCACCTGACTTAGTCCCTCATTGTCACTCATTGTCTCAAACAGGCCCAAACTGCTAGGTAAAATGTTTGCTTTCTGGATCAGGTGAAGAATGGGCTCGTTCTGCTGTTATTTTCCTCTTTATACCCCTTTGTAATTTTCAAATTCTCTACCTGGATCTTGAACTAAGAAAAGAAGAAATAAAAAATTGTAAACAGTAATCTGAGTCATTAGAACAAAGCAGGAGTCTTTTTTCCTCGCAGGTTTTTGGTATTCTGGTGAAGCCAGCAAAAAAGCAGCAAGAGCAAAGCCAGCCTCAAAACAAAGGACCAGGAGCACTGTTTACTCAGTAGAAAAGTACATTTATAGACCGAACCATTTTTTGGACTCTCACTTTTATACGTTCTCCATTTTATACCTCTCCTGCTGGCTCAAAGACATTTGGGGAGCATAAGTAGAAGGACATGACCTAAGACCACTTTACTGAAACATCAGTTTTCATGACAACGATGACATGATTACCTTCATGTCCACTGACGGGTCACCCTGCAGCAGTGTCCACTCGTACTGGACGATGGCGTGGTCGTCTGTGCTCTCACGGCCGTCCAAAACCAGCCCGTCTGTGGGCAGACGCAGAACCACATCGTCTCCGGCCTTGCTAAGTGGAGGCTCATCTTTTTCTGTGAAAGAAAAGAATTCACAGGAGAGATGATGCCCCAGTTTTTCTAATTTTAATTAAGAGGCCTCTCGTTTGCTACAAGAGATTTAGTTCAGCAAAGAACTGCTAAGAAAATATATATAGCATCTGAAAGTTATTTTTTATCAATTTTCATTGCATTCCCTTTACATAATAAATAAGATAGCAACAAGTTATGAATCTGGAATTTGGCTGTAATATAAGCAGAACAGTGAACTAGGCCCTCCAATGTATAAATCAGTAGTTTTATTCTCTAGACTGAAATTTTCACTTAATTTATAAATGACCTATGTTCAAAGTTGTCAAATGAATTAATTTTAAACATTCTTGAAATAAACCTTAAAAAAACACACAAATCCACCTCTGATATAGAGGTTCTCATTCGCAAGTTTTTAAAACAGGAGTGACATAAAGTGTTCAATGGATGCAAAATAAATTTGGAAAGTTAAGGCAAGTTCTTGGATCCATACAAAATAAAGCCCACATAGAATGTTATAGAATCTAATTTTTCACCTAGGAAATTCACAGCTTCTAATAACTAATTTTTTACAACAGGAGCCAGCACACTGAGTTTCTGAGTTGTTCCCTAATAGCAAAACAAGTATGTATTTACTTGCGATCTAGAATGGAACTAAATAATTTAAGGCTACTTACATAGGGTGTCCCCCCAAAATGAATACACACACTTTGAATGATTATGAAGCCAGTGCGTATAGAAATACATTGCATTTTCAAAACGGAGCTATCAGCTATTAAAGTGTGTATACATTTTTTGAGGACACCCTTACTCGCTTAAATAGTAATCCTTAACTGAGGGCGGCTTCAGTGAAGACTGATGGGAGAAGTTGCATTTCTAAGAGCAGAGCTGTGAATATGTTACTTGATTTAAGCTTCTTTTATAAAAATTTTTTTTATTGATTTCAGAGAGGAAGGAAGAGAGAGATAGAAACATGATAAGAGAGAATCATTGATCAGCTGCCTCCTGCCTGCCCCCTACTAGGGATCAAGCCCACAACCAGACATGTGCTCTTGACGGGAATTGAACCAGCAACCCTTCAGTCTGCAGGCTGAGGCTCTCTCCACTGAGCCAAACCAGCTTCTTATTAGTAAGCTTACCCAAAGGCATCTACTATTTGCTCTGTCCTCCAGGGCCAAAGCTCTGATCCAAAGGCTGCCCTAGACTTGTTCCTCCTTAACTTAGTCTGAATGATTGTGGAAGATACTGTCTTTCTTCCTTCACAACCAAAGTTGTCTCCTAAGCAAACTTCTGAGGGTCCTAGAGGTTCCGGTGCCTGAGCTGTGAAGATGGCTGCAGTCCTAGCAGTTCCCCAAGAGGCAACCATGAGTAGTCACTCAACACATGGCAGCTAGAAAGATTCTTCTGGAATGCTAATCAGAAAAGCCCCAACAAGTTGCCATTCCTCCCAGGATGTTCATAGACCCACCTATCCAGCCCTATCTTCTCATCTAGTGATCCTCTTACGGCCCAGAAACAGGGGGCTTATGTGAGGGACGGCAGCTCCCTGAGCTCTGACTTTTCTGAATGAGAATGCTGCTGCCACCGCAGGGGGAGAGGCCTTTTCTAATGAGCATGTTGCAAGGAACACGCACACTTGATATTGCCAAAGGGCACAAATGTCTACTGAGAACATAATGAGTCCCATTGTTATAGCCACTTAAGACAATGAGGACTTGTAACTCAGATCCACGCCTGATGTCTTTATTCTGCTTCTCCCAGGTAAGGAGAGAGGTGACAACTGCATTACCAATGGGCCCTTTCAGGGAGATTTACAGAGAACTCTTCTTTGGTTCTGGAAGGTTCATTGCTTTCCATACAATGGTTTACCACGTTACAATTCTGGAAAGCATCATATCGTTCAGCAGTAAGACTAGGGTTAGCAGCCAAATGTATTGAAATTTATCTTAAAATACTATTTTTAAGTAAACAAACTGAAATATAACTATATTCTATAAATAGCAATGGTTGCTAATGATATACCAATTTTAAACCCTCAAAGATTTAACCCCAAAGATTTCAGATGGAAGAATCAGGGAAGTGCTGAAGTACCCCACATATTATAAAACTAATTAATCATGTCTTCCTGGAAGGAAAAAAAAAAGTCATTTTTGAATCATTTTAGGAGAGCTGTGAGATGTGAAGTCCTCATAGCCTCTAAATCGATCACTGTTATATTTGAAATAACAGAGACATTGTCCCCTCAGTTCAAGTCCAGGCAAATCACATTGTACAACGTATTTTAAAATGAGCCAGAGCTTATCTACCCAGAAACAGGCCTTAAAATAAACAAATTATAAGAAGAGGAAAGGTTCATGCCACTTAAAAATATTTGACTTGCGGAGAAAGAACAAGATAAATGTAATTTTGAACTTGTGTCATAAAAATGTAATAAACCAATGTTAAGTACTATGGTAACATTGATTTCTTTTGAAAACTAAACATACTTGGTAAAACACACCAATTTTGAGGGAGCATATCAAGGTGGCATTTTATTTAAAGAACAATAATACTCTTCACTCATCTGATTTACAACACTGCTGTAAACAGAACCTTAACGACAAGAGGTTCTGGAATATGAATCAATACTGTGCGGGTGCAAATGATATAGCTGAGGCTGAGAAATTAGTAGGGCCTCCTACTCAGATTCAAAAGTGAGGTCAGACTAAAAAAGAGTTTAGAATGATATTTCCGGGGTTAAAAAAAAAATTTTTTTTTTTTTTGGCTCTGAGAATTTACTACTATTAATAGCATTTCCATTAAGACCACTCTCTCAATTGACTATTATCTTGAAAGCCAGAT